ATATATGTTTATCACAGTTTATGTATAAGTAACTTTTAATATAGTATGACAAATACCACAATACTTTCTCTAATTTTAAAAAAATGCACTTTAAAAGTAAAGCTAAGTATGAAAACTTTTGTACAATCATTTTTTTCTATTAGAAAGGAGCATAAAATACCCTTATTTTACTCGGTAATTAAAGTTAGTTGTGAGTATTGCTCCCTTATAACTACAGTAAACTCCTGAAAACTCGACCCTGGCTTAACTTGTCACTACCAATTAAGATATCATGCTGTCAATATCCTGGCTGCTTCCCATGCAAAATGTTAATAAGTGACTCCGCTTTATTTGTCACTCCACTTAACTCACAAGTCGTCTCATTCTTGTAAGTACTTGCAATATAAAATTGATCAGATAAATAGACATATAAGATAGCATCTTGCATCGCAGAGGATCTCCTACCCTATCTTGTTAATGGTGTGGGTGCTCAGAGGAGAATGGGTGCACATTGCTCAGATGCATCACCAAGGCTTATTGGAGACCACGCCATAGCCTCCTGCCCCACCATCTGCCCTATCCTGTAACAGGATAGGGATGGGAGGCCATGGCACAGGCTTCAAATAGACCAATACAATGCATCTGAGCCTGGGAGACCTATGCCTAAAGTCACCATTTCAGATAACTAATCGCTGAGCCCTTTCCTTGTAGTGACAAATTATCCAGTTTACTCTATTGTTTAGCATAAAGGCATCTTTAATAGTTATGAGCAATTTGTGTCTGTATCAACAATGGGATTGTAGAATGCTAACCTGCTATCAGGATTATCCTCCAAATAATGCTACTCAGTTTACCATTAGTGTTGAGTTTCCAGATTGAAATGAAATCTTTGGTGTACCTCAAGAGCAAAATGAGCAGTTTTTGTCAGAATGAAAAGAACACAGTAGAAAATTCTCCCAGTGTCCTGGCCAACAATCCCTCAAAATAAAAATCAGTCACTCGTTTCACACTGTTTGTGGGACATTGCTTTGAACAACTGGGCTACCACGTTCACCTACAAATATACAGTCATTTCACTTCACAGTAAATCCTATGAAGCGCTTTGGGACATTCTTCTGATGTGAAAGGGGCTATACCAAATGCAAGTATTATTATTTACTTTTAACACTTACAAACAGTTACTGATAGTCATGTATTTAACATCAGCACTTTTGTAACACCTCTCTTGCTAATATATTGCCTATGCTCTACTGTTCCATTTGGGGGAAAATTAGCATGATTTTGCCAATCCCTCCCAAATTTGCAATTTAGTGCTGGAGCCACATCTCTGGCAACATCCAGTCATTGTTTCAGGAAAAGTGTGTTCATCATCATCCACATAAATGAAACGGGCACACATTGTGCTGTGGTCACTCATCTGAATTGAATAGCCTGGGAACCACAAACAGGATCTTATTTTTAAACTATAAGGAACCAGTTGTATTATGCTAAAAACATATGATTTGGAATGTATCTTGCTTTGATACAATAAGTAAACCAACTCATTATTTTTTAAAATCTTGTTACTTGTCTTGTTACACAAATTCCAAATTCATTTTGCCTGCTACCAGACAAAAGTAGATCAGGTGCTGGCAGCATTTAAATGCCAGGCTTTAGTGTGACTTCTCTGACGTTACTATTACAGAGACACTGATGTAGGTAGCCAAATTGAGAATCTTCTCAGGCATCACTATAAAGGGGATGCAAGCCGAAGATTAGTGTGTTACAGAAGAAATGCCCACATCTTGAGATATAGGAAACACAAAGGCAAACAATACACATTCTGCACCACCAAAAACATTTTAGCTTCCAAAAAAAACTTCAGTCAAAAANGAACCTCCAACTCTTTAAAGGATTCATCTGGTCATGTTTCATTCTCTCACCCTTGGTGCTTTCACTTTAAGGCTAGGAATATGAACAATGTGGTAAGTGGAGCATTTCCCAAAACAAAACACTGCAATGATAACTGCTGATTCAATGAGGGTTTGCATAAATCTTATCTACTTCTGGGGATCCTTCACAATTTGGCTAATTGATAAGACATCAAACCTATCTAACATTCAGTATTATATACAATTTTATTATATATTTCCAGATGGTTATCCCATTCTTTGATTTTAGTTCCATCTGCCTTGTGATTTGGTTTGATGCCTGCTGTTGCTATTTCAAAGAAACATGCAATCTTTCTCCTCATTAACATATCTTATATTTCTCTCTGAATCTAAATGTGTGTTAATTGGCTAATCATTTCATTGTTGCTTATGGGACATTGCTAGCACACTTGCCTGTATAACATTCATTTCATTAATAATCAATTGTATATTTGTAAAGCTTTTTGAGATTTTTTTGATGGGAAAGATGCTATATAAATGCAAGTTATTATTATATTGCTCAATCAAGATTCTAAGATCTACTCAGCTGAACCTTATGTTGCTGACTGATGTGAGTACTTTTAATGTAGCCACTATAAAGTAAGCTTGCAATCTCTTTCAAATGCATATAATATGAAAAGCAGAGTAGATGCCAAAATCTGACCAACCAAAAACATAGAATTTCAAAATCTCACTTATCCACCTTAAAAGTACACAAAATGCAAAATGCTGCAGATGCTGGAAATCTGTTTCCAAAATACTACAGATGCTGCAAATCTGTTTTTATTAAAAGCACTGTATACTTGTATATACAGTAACATTCAACTTACTTGAATCAATTGTTTACATGTTGTATCTTAAAGCTGTGAATATCAACACACATTTATTCCCCATGCAAAACAGCAAAAGAAAAATAACTTTTACACTTTAAATAATGTAAACGCTCTTTAATTTTCTTCAATTATATGGAAGTGCACATAGTCCATTCAGCTAGTTGTGCTGAGTACTATTTTAATTAGGCACCGCTAGAAAATCATACAGGAATCTCAACAGATCTGTACTTGGAGATAGGACAGGGGAAGGGAAGCGTGAACAAATGAACTCAACAATCAATACAAAAGACGTTGCATCATGTGTCTAATCTTAAACAACAACAACAAGATTACATTTGTATAGCGCCTTTCACGTCGGGAGGACGCCCCAAGGCGCAGAACAGAGCATTTCAATCCTGGGGGGGGGGGGGGGAGAAGGGAGGGGAGGGGAAGGGGGGTGGCCAATGGCATGGTCGAAGAGGAGGGTTTTGAGGCGGGACTTGAAGGAGGCTAAGGAGGGGGCGAGGCCAAACGTTTGAAATGTCTCCAAATAGAAATTGAACACCTTTATCAGCCACAGGGGCAAACTGAGCATAACCCTCCACTGATGGCTACTGCTGCCAATAGTTTCTCCTAGCAGTCAGAAAGTTATTAATCTATACACCACACCACCAACCAATTAGACACGGGCAGCAGTTGAAAACAGGCAAATTAGCAATCATTTTATATGGAATCAAAATAATTAATGTACAGGGATTATAGTTTAAAGCCATATAACATGAAAGTAACAATATTTCCAAATCATTATAGCTGCACTTCAGTTACAGTTTATTTATCTAACGGTGAGTAACCTGGGGCAGACATCATTGTCAAAGTGTAAGCAGGTGCTAATTTGTTTTATGGGATGGTCTGAGAGATGGAGAGAGCTGCTGATAAACACAGTACAGCATCCAGCTATTGCCCACTGACAGCATTCCTCCACCTTAGAGGTAGACTTTGAAAGAGTTACACCCTAAAGTCATAGTATCACATAATGTCAAGGAGCAAAAGTAGCTTTGCTTGAGTGTACAGTGGCAGCCTAAAGTGCTGAGCGCAAAATCCAAAGGTGTCAAGGGTAAAGCGACAGCATAAAGTGCTAAGGAGACAGCGTAAAGTGCCTGGCGCCCAGGGTAAAGGTGTAGCATGAAATTTAATCAATAGCGGCAGCCTAAGAACATTGGGTGCACATTGTTGCATACAAATTTCACACAAGCATAGGATGTCAGGTTACTCACAAATTAAAAGTGACTAAAGAATTTGAATGTATGGCTCAATGTGTAAAATGCTCCATTGCCTAGAAATCAGTGGGTGCTTGTACTGTACGTGGTTTTCATGTAGTACTATGAAGCATCCCAGATTATTGGCCCTCAGCCTGATGTTAGTTCTGTGCCTAACTAGCACTTGCTGATTAGCACTTGCTGATTTTACTGCAGATCCCATGAACAGGTAGATAATGTCCAGGTGAAAACAGAACTTTGGAATTAAGAGTCTGAAGTAAAGTAAAAAAACTGGGAAGCCTTTTCTACAATTTGTCAACCTCTGATGAGAGGCAATAAACTAGAACACAATCACCAAAAATTCTCTTGCTGCTCGTACAGATATGCAGCAAATGGGTGTCTACATTCAGTAGTTTGGAAGTGTATACAAATTTTTTAAAAATCACAAACATCATGGATAAATGACATTTAAACAAACAATAAACAAAGTTGTTGGTCCTTGTCTATTTACATTTTTGTTGCATCACAAGACTCACTGAAGAATAATTTTCTATTGAGATCTGGGGAGTTTGCATGTTATCTGATGCACGTGACTTTAGGGATGAGGTTCTACCAAATGAAGGTGTGAACACCTGTGGCTTAAGCAAAGCATCTGGCATGAGCGGTAGCTCTCCCTTGTAAAAATATACCCGACAGGTCCTGAAGCACTTTAGCTAAAGTGCAGCAGACACCTTTCTGCTATTGAGGCAGTCTAAATTGGGGGGGGGGGGGGGGGGGTGAGTCAATGAAACACAACTACTGTTACAATATAATACAATGGCTACAAAATTCGGCATTGCTGGACAACATGCCAGATGCACAGAATGCAATCGGTAGGTTTTAATTTCTAGAATTGGGTGTGAATTACGGTTACTTCAAGGCATTACGGGAGCATCAGTAATTCCCAGAAATATGCACTATTGGCAATGCATGGACCTCCGTGTTTGGTTTAGGCACTTGGGTTTTAATCACCTGCCCAAAACAAGTGTGCACTGATCCTCATCTTTTCTGTCACTGCTAAAAACGGATATCACTGTATTCACATTAGAGCACTTAACAAAGAGCTCCTTCTCCTAATTAGTTAGCCTTTTAATACAGTAAAGTTAATATTAGCCCACAGCACGGTTACCCATCTACATTCCTACTATTTTTGTTTTACATTCTAATACATGATGGATGCAAACAAACTTTGCTATGCAGCATAGAGAATTAACTCTATAAAGGAATTACCTGTTAAAGCAGATTTTTGTTACAAAGATGACAGAATTACTTTTCTTTAAAAATTCTTGTAACGTTCTTGAACCAGTTGTGCAATTATACATTGGACAGATGATACAATATTGTACATTCAGAACTGAAGGCCATTTCGTATTCATTACAAAGAAAAGTTCCCAGTATTGATTTGACATAAGACTATATTTTGTATGAAGCGTTACCTCACTTAGGCACACCAACTACCACTATAAACACCTGCAACAACACAGTCCTTTGTAACCGACCTTGACGTGGGCAAAAATGGCACAGCTACAAAGCCTTTGGATTGCTATTGCTGAAACTATGACTTAGAATACGTAACAACAGTTTATCCTGGTTGACCACCGCTCCATTGTAGAACTATCTTCATCTGGTAAAAAAACATCCAAAATGACCATGGTTCAACATGATGGGTGTCCCCTCAATTTGGATTAGTGTCCAGGAGCTGATGTTGTGTCAGCTTCACATTGGAAAGCAGCAATTTTACATGGACAAGGGCACTTGGTTGAAATTCCCACACATTCATCCTCCCACGTTATCCCTCATGGAGTCCATTTTTTGACCAAGGTCCTTGAAGTTTGGACGTTGAGTTGGTCCATTGTGCCAGCAATTCATCATTGTGGAATGAATCTGAAATTGCAAGCGATTAGCACCATTAACCACAGGGACCAGAATCCCAGTTGAAATGCAAGCACAAGTAAGATATGAATGTTCTTCTTCCCATTTAAAATGTAATTTGGTACATATGCATGAACTTTATTTTAACTTTGTTCATGTAATAAAGTTGTTAGTCAATTGGTGGATCGCTTTCTGGGAGTAATAATCCTTTAAAAATAGATTAAAAAATAAAAAATAATTTGATTATTCAATTCACGACTGTTTGCAGGACACTGCTGTGTGAAATTGGCTGTCGTGTTTTGTGCACAAAATATATAGTCAATTCACTTTGCAATATATTCTGTGAAGCGCTTTGAGATGTCTCAATGCCGTGATAAGGCGCTATATCAAATGCAAGAATTATTATTACTATTATTATAATAATAACGCCAAGTACATCTGTGAACCTCTTTTGAAGTGTTTCCACCAGTCCAATGAGCATTCTTCATCTGATAGCAACACAACACTTTTCCTCTCTTCCAATTTCCCAGCTCTTTCCCTGAAAGTTGTTTTGATTCTCTTTGCTTTCTCCTGGGTTTCTACAGGCAATCTTTAGTACCTTGCTCAAGTGGTCATAATTCATGTGTAAGGCCTGATAGTGGGTACCATAGGGTCAACACATTCAATCCTAATCACGTTTTTACCCAACATCCACCAATGCACATCCTCAAACAGGGACAGTGATTAGGAATGGAAACCCTTGATGATTTTTCCCTCCATAACCCATGGGTGCTGAGGCCACTTGCCAACATCTCAACAGCAATGCAGTGAATCAGCTGGTCAGCAAAGACCATGATTCCAACATGCAATTGAGGTCATTTGGGATATGATGTCCAGTCTCATTTTAACTAAATCTTGAGACACTTAGTTTTAATTGTTGTTTGTTTTTTGATGGAAATATAATGGGTTAGTATCTCCTGACTGCTTTTTTCAGTGTTGTTTTGGGTAATATGTGGTATAGTGCATGCTGCTTCCAAATATTACCGTGTCAGGACATCCATCGGGTCTTGGCAGCCTTCTACCATCCTTAAGAAGCTCAATCAAATGGAAGACGATCATCTGCCCTTGCTTGTCATTGCCGATCATACGCATAAACTCCTGAAATTGCAACAACATTGATTAACCCAGGCCACTTACACTGGAAACAAAGTACGGCAATAAAGGCCAATAACAAAGTAGCAGAGACAAAACTTAATTGAAAAGAATTCAGTGATCCAAAACTAAAAAGTTGTACTTATAAGGCCCCAGATACGCTGCAGGAACCAATTCAATGTGCTGTCTGCAATAGTACTTCATAGTTGGCAGACCGTACTTTGTATTTAAGATTGGTGCTGGCAAAGAGGAGCTCCATGCATACACACAGAATCTTCTCTGAACCCGATTCCCCAGGTCCAGAAGCTGAATCTATACTAAACGACTTGTTTCAATAGGATGTGAAAACTCCATTGAATCAACACAACAATGTATAATTGGGGCAGAATAAAGAAAACTACAAAGGCTGAAACCATTAATTACTCTGTAGATCCTATTAGGGAACTCCCAACTATATTTTGCACGAAAGACAGAATAAAGGTTACAGGGAATTTGCAGCTGAAATAGAAACCGATACAGCTAGATTGAAGGATGCTTGAAACTCACTGAAGGTGGACTTTTGGTCTTCTCGCTGCATGTGAAGAGTTCGTACAAGACCACTCCGAAACTCCACACGTCTGAGGCCACTGAGAACTTGTTCTCCATCAAAGACTCCAGCGCATACCTGATTACAACGTTAAAAGGTGTTCAGCATGTCGTCTTGATACTTTGCTGTGCTATTAAACAATAATAAATGCTCTACATATAGTTCCACGAATACTGATGTAGCAAAAGATTATGGTGGAAGAAATGCCAGGACTGTGATTTGAACCAGACTCCCAACTCAGTGAAAGATTCCTGTTCAACTTGTAACACGTACTTACAACCATTATAGCTCATTTGGATTAAATTCTCACCAAAAAATTGGACTCTCTCCTGGTTCTTTGACTTTGTAATACTCTTTGTCTTGTGGCAAGACTTTGGTCAAACCAAAGTCACCAATTTTCACTCGGTTCTCATTCTCCACGAGAATGTTCCGTGTTGCCAGGTCTCGGTGTATGTATCGCTTTGTTCCAAGATATTCCATTCCCTAGAAAGAGGAAGCACTATTTTACATGCAAGGATCCAGGAGAAAACAAAATCAAGCATAACTGCTTAACAATGATTTGTCAACAACAGACATGGCAGCGGGTTTCAAATTGGGAAGATTGTTACAAATAAATTGCATTTTCAGTTGTACAGATTTTCACACTGAAGCCTTCCTGTCTGAGAGCGCTGATGTGTTCACATATGCGTGTTAGCTTCTCATTGATGTTGGTGGTGTACCTTGCATATCTGAGAAGCATAAGACAACAGTTTCCTGCGATCAATCCGATCTTTGTTTTTCTGTAAATAGTCTCGTAAGCTTCCGTGAGGTAGATACTCCATGATCAACTTCAGGTTTCTCCGCCCTGTAAAGGCAAAACAAGCAAAAATACAATTGTTGGCAGTCTCACCTGGGGCTCAACTGCACTTAGCCATTACGTGCTGCAAGAGGAAATCCAAGTTATGATGCTTCAAGTGATGATGCCTTTCAATGAAGTGCGTTTGCCTCCAGAAACAATTATTACTACATAAAATAGTCATTACAATCAAACACCTATCTTTTTCTTGAAATGCATGAATGTCCATGGCCAGTAAAGTGGGGTCGGGGTGAGAAGTATCGATGTTTGTGGATATATGGATCCACAACAATAATTAAAGCTCTTTCCCACTATTCTCAGATTTTGTAAGGGATTTTTCTTTCCTCCTTAACATTGCCCCAACTACTTTTGCAGAATCCATATTGGGTTAACTGGTGGGAAGGCTGGCAAATTAACCCCAGGCATCTGCCAATACCTTTCTGTAACTGTGCCGGGAGGTTTGTAGGCTAACATTCCCTTCAATCAATATCTTCCAACAGCTTGGCCAAGACTGGGCACCCCCGTTGTGAAGAGCTCTGATTTATTATTCTACGCCAAGGGTGATACATAAATGTCAGCTGTTGTTATGGAGAATACCCCATTTAACCCCGTTTCACAGATCAGTATTCCAGTACTACTCAATGACAGATCACATGACTACTTGCTCAAATATATATTTTTAAAAATTAAGGTTAAAAATTAAAATCTCTCCATTATACCCACAACCCAATCCAATGAAGATACAATTTCCAAAGCAGAATTTCACAAACAACTCATCCATATAACCTTCCCCTCCCCAACGGTCAATCTGTAAATCACTAAACAGAATGGGTCTTCACTTGAAGCCTTTCTGTGAGATTAATGCAGCATCAAAACTCCATTTCCTGACTGTTGTAAGATAGTGTGTTATCTAACCCAAAGCATGGTACCCATCAATGTTTGAGCTTTATTAAGTATTATGTTGTCTCTACGTACCAGCACTGTAACATACTCCTTTGTATTTGACAATATTATCATGCTGAAGAGATTTGAGGATTTCCGTTTCTCTTTCAAAGTCCCGTATGTGCTCTGCAGTGCTCTGCTGCAGCTTCTTCACAGCTACCACATCACCAGTGTTGTCCTGAAGTGGGTCGTATCGACACAGCTCAACACTGCCAAAGTTACCCTGTTTGGAAAAGGAACGTTTGGTTCATAAGGCAAATTAAAATGTTGAGCTACTTTGCTTAAATTACCTCCCAACTTTCTGGGGAAGGGGAAAAGCGAGAGATGATACTTTCTTGTCTATTTATTATCTCAGTATTACTTTTCTGCCAGATTTTAAAGAAAGATCTTCCCCTCCCCTTCTCTGACCCTTCCATACGAGCTCAGCACGGAGCCTGATGCCAAGCTTCTACACATGCCACGCTAATTAGATGCTAAGGAACAGTGCACGACTTAACCAAGGTGATACACCAAACAGATCTCTCTACCTGCAGAGAGAAAATCTGCACATTCAGAAAAATCAGATCATAGATAATAATAATAATAATCCTTGCATTTGATATAGCGCTTTTCACGTCGGGAGGACGTCCTTTTTTTGGAGGGATTACCTACATTTACCTACAAAGTACAGTTATAACACTTCATAGTAATATATCCTATAAAGCGCTTTGAGATGTTTTGACAATATGATAAAGTGCTACATCAAAAGCCATTATTATTTTTATTATTATTATTATTATTATGCTTGATGGCTTAAGCTGCACAAACAATTACCTTGCCCAACTGCTGCAAAAATATGAGATGCCTTTCTTCAAACTGTGCAGGATCATGGCTTACACAAGCACCAAAGAAGCCATTCCCAGCACCTCTCACATTTGGCAACAGATCAATTTCAGCCAACAACTCATAATCTGCAAGAGAAAAAACATTTTGAGGAGTTTATCTTTTAAAATTCAGGGAAATTGTTCGGTCTTCTATCAGGGCTTTTTACCTTCACGGGTTCAGTTCAGCTGCGTATACAGAGAGAAACAAAATGGTAACAGATACGCCCACAAATACACATCCAAACAAACAGGCTTTTAAGAGGGTGACAAAGGTTAAACCATTTAATTGACAGTGAATAGAAAAAAACTGATGGTGTAACTGGAACAAATTGCATGATTCCCCCACCTTTGAATTTCTCAGCCTGGACTCACTGGGACTATAAGATTGCTTTCTCCTCATGATGATCCACGCCAGTGGGCTAGCCATGCCTCACTAATCACCCCCCCCCCCCCCCCCATTCGCACCTAGTCTTGGCGTGTGCATTTTGACTGCCGCCACCGACCTGAGCTGCTTCCCTAAAATGCTCCCACCCCTGTCCTCTCCTCTCCCTTACTCCCGCTCAGTCCTCCTCTCCCACCATGTCGTGCGGCATTTCTCAGGTTTCTGTCCTTGGTTTCCTCCTGTTCAACATTTCTATGCTCCCTCTTGGTGACATCATCCGCAGACATGGGGTCAACTTCCACATTTATTCGGAAGACACCCAATTGTACCTCTCTGCCTCCACCCGTGACTCCAAGACCTCTGCTGTCCTGACATAATGTTTGTCTGACATGAAGTCCTGGATGAGAGTTGAACTTGAGCTCTCTGAACTCTCCATGAGAGTCTACGGTTGAACGTCAACAAGACCGAGGCTCCCCTGATTGGCTCCTGTTAACGCCTCCTCGCCTCAGGCGCTGACAGCATCACCATCCATGGTTGCACACTCCACCTCACTGAGCCAGTCCGGAACCTTGGGGTCTTGTTTGACCCTCAACTATCCTTCCTACCCCACATCTGTGCCATAACCCGCTCTGCCCTGCTCCACATTCACAATGTCACCCTTCTCCGACACTGTCTCACACCACAGACTGCCGAAACCCTCATACACGCATTCATAACATCGAGGCTTGACTATGTAGACTCATTGCTTGTCGGCCTCCCCAACTCCTCCCTCCACAGGCTGCAGATCATCCAGAACTGTGCAGCCCGTGTCCTCTCCCGCACCAGACTCGGTGACCCTATCACCCCCATCCTTGCCCAACTCCACTGGCTTCCCATCACAGAGGATACAGTTCAAGATCCTGGTCCTCACCTTCAAAGCCCTCCATGGTCTTGCTCCCCCCTACCTCTGCAATCTCCTAACCCCCTATCATCCTGCCCGCTTCATCCGCTCAGCGGGCTTCGGCCTGCTTCATGTCCCCCGCCTCGCCCGCCCCAACACTGGCGGGTGGGACTTCTGCCGCTCTGCGTTCACTCTGTGGAACTCTATCCCGCAGTCTCTCCGCATCGCCCGCCTGCCTTTTGAAATAGACAGCACACTACTCCTGGATGTCCAATCGAAACTCCATGATATAATTGCCAGCTATCAGTGTATCTCAAGTCTACAATACTGTAATGTGAATGAGCAATTCGCTTCATCTTTCTTTAGTTACTAAAACAAGATAGCTTTCAATGCACATTCACAAAGGAAGTAAGAACTTAAGCAACATTTCTGAAATTGTGAAACGTACCTGGAGTGAATAGGCTGTTGAGGTCTCGTATTATTGCACGAAATGAAGGTCTGAAGTCTGGTTCATAATCCATACAGTTATTTATAAGGTTAGCGAGTTCTGTCCACTTTGGAGCAGGGAGCTGGTGCCTATCCTCATAAAACTGCAGTTTCTGCAGCACAAAACATGCATTTCAGTAAATTCCTTTTGGACTGCAAACATTTAGGATTTTTGAAGTGCCCGACACACACACACACACACAGACAGAAACCCGTTAACAATTTCCAAGCCAGACAGAATTACAACATAAACACACACATACATACACATATATATGATTATTTTTCATACATGCCATCTTTGCAGTGTAACATCAGTTTTACGAAAGCACCATGACGGCTTTCACTGATTGCCTGAATTGGGTCTCATTACTCCTCACGTAGTGCTCCCTCAGTTATTAATTTCCACTGTGATTCTCATGCAATTCAACTCTTCCCATCTATGCCACAAAGCCCTCTCTGTGACCCTCACAGAGACAGAGGTATCAAACCACCACATTCCTTAAACCATTCCAGGTATTCTGAAATCCTGGAATGTGTAGTTTCACTGGACCCTCATCGCCATCAAGGTACACCACACAAGATATTATTTGCTGGCAAACACACGCACATTATTATAAGGGTCAGATGTGAGATGGCTGCTACTCACATCCAGTCTATCACTTACCCGTGTGGTATCAAGTGCGCTAAGTGGTTTATCTCCTCCGCTGCAGATCTCCCACAGTGTGGTGCCAAAACTCCACTTGTCTGTTGCAAGGCTGATATTCTTGGAATCCTCAATACATTCTGGTGGTACCCAGGGAATCCTTTCAATGAGAACTATGTAGACAAGCACACCAGCATATCACTGACTCCCATACCACAAATACTTACAAGGGAACGCAGGGTAAAAATTAAAGCGCAAAATAAGGTCTCCAGGATAAAGAGTAATTTGCTTGACTTTCTAATTCGTAGGGAAGATTTATGGAAACATTGCTCGCTGCAGCTTTCCTCATACTTTGAATGGAATGAAATCAACAAATGGATCACAGGGGCTTGTCCGTGTGAGACAGTCACCTAAACGCAGCACACATGATGCAAGCCTAGAAAATCACAGCACTGAAGAAGGTCATTCAGCCCATCGTGTCTGTGCCAGCTCCTTTAAGAGCTTTGAGGCCCACTTACCTCACCCTTCTCTATATACCTGTAGTTGCCTCCTTTTAAGCCATATATCTAATTCCCTTTTGAAAGCCAATACAGATCCATGACTCAATCGGTATCACTCTCACATCTGAGTCATAGCATTGTGGCTTTAAAGCCATATTTGTATTTACACATTGCTTATCAGTTAGGAGAAGCATATAAGAACTGCTAGACGAAAGAAGACCAAGGTCCATCTAGTTCAACTTCCACCACCTTGGCAGTCACATGCTTATGTCGTGCCCCAAATTATATACTGTATCTTGAGATATTATTTCCTAACAGAAATCGATCTAATTTGTTCTTGTAAGAAATCTATGATGCATGCAGAGCTGATTTAAATAAAATAAGAATGTTCATCTTGTTATGCTTAGGTGTAAACAAAACTCAGAAATGCAGGAACAACAACTTGCATCCGTCACACGAACCAATGACTCGGGAGTGGTTAAACAATCCCAACATAACTGAATGGTCAATTAACCCCCTCCCCCTGAGAAAAGTAACAGGACAGTATTCTCACCATCTTTTGGCAAAACTGTGATACCAACTCCAGGATCAGTGAGTTTTATGAACGGAGGGTTTCCGGTGTTCCGGTCCTCTTCTCTGATCATTAGGACATTCTTGGCACAGACGTTTCCGTGAACAAGATTCCGGTCTTCCTGCGTACGAAGATAAAAGAATCATAAAACATCCTAAAAGGTCGCAAACCGCAACTGGTTCAAAACAATTGTACAGGGTTTCAACAACAGCAAGTGCCACACTGAATACCATAGCAGTTCAAGGGATTGCTGTGTGCTTCATTGGTCAATGTCTTACAAAGTCAAGGACAATTGAATTTTAGATCCTGCAATTAATTTTTCACAAAAATGTTCACATGGTATTTTACAAAAACTAATGCCACTTGGAACCCCAAAAAATAGTACTAAGTAAACGGTTTGAAATTGTCTTCAGAGAATTGGCAGCACCATCAATAACATTCTGGAGTCTAATTTATAAAACTGAAATGTTTGTGTACAGTAAAACCAGTGCCATCTACTTAGAACTGTCATTTTGTGAGGATGCGTGGAGTAAGAGAGCCTTGATGAAGTATGGTACAGTAATAAATATACACCAGGTCCTCTATATCAGTGCATTGGCAGAAAAGCATGACTGGCTGGCCTTGGTGGTGCACAAGACAGATCATCAGTAAGAGGGTGGATTGTTTTCTTGAAAAAAGGTCGACCCACAACTGCGCTATTCTGGGGGAGCAATGTTATTCAGTAACTGGACTTACTAAGAAATGCATGGCCCAGGCTAATTGTTTGGCCACCTCAAGCTTCCACAGGATATTGATATTGTTTTTGTTTTTCTTCAGGTAGGTGTCCAGTGATCCAAACTTCACGTATTCCTGAACCATGATATCTGTTTCCAAAATATACAGAAGTGTGAATGCAACACAGAATATAATAATAATAATCCTTGCATTTGATATAGTGCTTTTCACATCTTCTAGATGTCTCAAAGCGCTTCACAGAATATACTGTAACGTGAATTGACTGCATATTATATGGGTGAAACAGGCAGCCAATTGCGCACAGCAGTGTCCTATAAACAGTCTTGGATTGAAGTGACCAATTTATTATTGTTTTTTTTGAGGGATTATTAGGCATGTGGAGTAAGGAAACTTGCCCAAGGTTTCGCCCTGCCAGAATGAATGTGATCTCTCACTGCACAATGACAAAGATGCTTGCATTAGAAAATTTTAATAGTGTGTCAAGCTGGCTCAGTTAGTAGCTTGACTTTCTAATTTCTAAAGTTAGTAGCACTCCTGTGGCTTCAAGCCACAAGTTGAAACTCATATAGTCTAAGCTGACATTCCAATGCACTGTTGGGGGATGCTGCATTGTCAGCGATGCTGTCTTCTGAATGGGATATTAAACCTTTTCAGGTGGAAATTAAAGATCCTGTGGCACCATTTGAAAAGGGGAGGCATTTTCTCCCGGTGTTGTGACCAACAGTCTCTCCAATATAACTGGTCATTCACTTCATGGCTGTTTATCAGACACTTCCGGGTGTAAATTGGCTGCCACGTTCATCTACAAAACACACAGTCACTACACTATATCCTGTGAAGAACTTTGGGACATTTTTCCGACGTAAAAAGGCAATATACCAAATGTAAGGATTATTACAATAAACAAGATACTATTTTTTAATATTAAAAAAGGTACTGAACAGTTATTTTCTGTGCAGACCAAAGTTGGTGAAACATAAGCGCAGTGCAAGAAGATCTAAATTATTCAGTTGGTAGGTGAGCCATCTTTTCAATTGAGAATGTCTTAAAAAATATTGGTCAAAGCAGGATGCCTTAAAACAGCACGTTACTTAAATCTAAACTAAAAAAGCTTTGTTTATTGGTTTACTCACTCTCTTCACCACATACACAAACTCCATAGTTCAAAACTAAGTGCTTGTAGGAGAGTTGACTCATCATGCTTGCAGCTTCAAAAAAGGACTGAAAAAGAAGATTAATAGAGACAATCAGACCACTTGCTAGTTTATCAATATGGCTTTCTCGGCTAAACCCTGCTCCATCCACCACCAGTCAACCTCAAAAGGAAATTAATCCTTTTTGCTGACTGTCAATACAACACCTCATATCATAAGAGCCCAAGAAAGGAGAAAAACCCATTTTTAGCAGATTACTCTGAATGAGCTGTGAAAAAAAACTCAACTGAAGAGTATATTCCAGCAACAACTGAATGAAGGCAAATGATTTTTGCTTCTCATCTCACTCATTCCTCCCCTTAGTCTCTGTAGCTCATTTTGCAGTTAAGGATTATTTCTGGGACAGCGCTTGTTTAAAATAACTAAGGGATGAAAATGCAAAGTGCAATAATGGGATCTAGTGTGCGGGACCCACAATATAATTTGTAAATAGCCAATGCTGTGGGCATGGATTGAGTCTCAGGTCAACTCTCTGGAACGCTGCTCGGTTACCAATCAGTTTCCAATTCCACAAAGCGGGACTGTAGCCAAGGTTGGCATGTAGAAGGAGATCATCACTAGAGCAGAGGTGCAGCATAAGGCACGTCCAAATATTTGCAGGATGGGTTGTTTACAAATCCTTTTGTGATTTTCAAGTACTTTGAGACGTCTCAAAGACGTGATAAGGCGCTATATCAAATGCAACAATTATTATTGTTAATTTCGCAAGTACAAGTGAAGAGCCATATCACAAGAAAAAGACAAAATCTCCACCCTGCAGCCTCTGAAGGCATGACAAAGCATTGAGTTCAAGTCCAAGGCCTTCTTGGTCTGTAATGCCTGTACTGTTCCAACACCGCATTGGGTGACGTACTGATCAGGAACAGACAGACATGTTTCAAAGAGGAGAAAATTAGAAAAAAAGACGAAGAACAATTTTAAAAAAATAGAATTCATTAAAATCTTTTTATAGCAAAGTGCAGACAAAACAAACCTCAGAGTAATTTCTGTGAGCCTTGTCTAAGACCTTGAGGAGAACATCAGTCTTGTGTATCTGTCCATAATCTCCTAATTCTTCCCTGACGCCTTTGCAAATTTTTGTAAATGTTCCCTGGCCAAGGCTTTCCCCCTGCAGAAAAAAAACACGATTGTGTGAAAACTCTCTGTAGACAAAGATTAGCCAACGTCAATTTGTCCCGATTTCAAATCATTTATGTTGGTACATGCAGAATCTCCAATTCTTTTCTCCCTTTCATGAGGCCTCTATGTTCCCAAAGTGAGAGAGTGAGATTACCCGCTTCCAGGCTTCACTGTACACTGCTCTGCATCACTTAAGAGGTGTGTGACAACACCACATGTGGTCTCAGGCTTTGATTTGCCCCTTCCTCAGAGCCCCACCTACAGAATTCTGGGCTCAATGGGACTCTGGACAAAAGACTGAGATCTTTGGTGCGCCGACATGCTGTGCTACTGGAATTCCCCAGTCACAAAAATAATCTCTCATCACATCTCCTCCTCGTCCCTTGCACCCTCCGCCCCACCATCGGAAGTCGTGCTTTCAACCACTACGCCCCAAAATTCTGAAACGCTCTCCCTCATTCCCTCGGCCTTGCCCCCTCTCTCAAGTTAGGCCTGAAAACTTTCCTCTTTGTGCTTACGGCCATCTCCCCCCTCCCCCCCCAGCTCGGAGTCAAGCTCCACCACTGTTAAGCGCTCTAGGATGCTATCCTGCGTAGAGGACGCTATATAATGCAAGTTGTTGTTTTGTTGTTCTTATTGTAACCAATAAATCCCCAGCACAAAGCTTTGTCCTGTCAAAAGCAATAACTAAAGAAATATCTCAATGTTTAGCAGATGCTGTTACATTTGAAGTCAAAGGTGGACAGTGAAACTGAGAAGTGCAGAGAGTGATTTAAATGCACAGATTCCCATAATCCGAGTTCAAAAGAAGCTTTGGATGGACTCTTACGTTAAGTTAATCTTCACATTTTCCTTCTATTTTCCTTACCTTCTTCTCTGAAAAACAGTCCCTTGCCTCACCCCTCCTTGCCTCCTTCAAGACCTTTCTCTTCGGTCACCCTCGTACCACAACCCTCGCTGCTCTCCACCCCCCTTGATCCCAACCCCCAGCTCGGGTCCAAATCCTTGACTGTCCAGTGCATTGGGGTATTCTCCCAAAGTAAAAGTAATTTGTTTTTGTATGCGGATGACACCCAATTCTATCTTTCTGCCTCCACCCTCAACTCCAGGACCACTGCTGTCAGACATCAAGTCCTGGATGAGGGCAAATTTCCGACAGTTGAATGTGAACAAGACTGAGGCCCTCCTGATTGGCTCACACCAGCGCCTCAGCACCTCAGGCTCTGGCAACATCAACCTCCATGGTTGCACACTACAACTCACCAAGACAGTCAGGAACCTAGGGGTCTTGTTCGACCCTCAGCTGTCTTTTCTCCCCCACATTCAAGTCATGACCTGCTCTGCTTCCCTCATCTCCGTAACATCGCCCGACTCCGCCACTACCTCACCCCTCAGGCCGCTGAAACTCTTGTTCATGCCTTCATCACCTCCAGGCTCGACTATGCAAACCCCCTGCTTATCGGCCTTCCCAACTCCTCCCTCCGCAGGCTACAGAAAATCCAGAACTCTGCAGCCTGTGTCCTCTCCTGCACCAAACTCCATGACTCCATCTCCCCCATTTTCGCCCGACTGCACTGGCTCCCTATCCTTCAGCGGATCCAGTTCAAGATTCTGGTCCTCACATACAAAGTCCTCCATGGCCTCGCCCCACCCTATCTCTGCAATCTCCTAACCCCCTACTAACCCGCCCGTTCCCTCCGCTCAGCCAGTTCTGGTCTGCTCCATGTCCCCCGACCCACCTGCCCCACCATTGGCGGGAGAGCCTTCAGCTACTCTGCCCCCAACCTCTGGAATTGCATCCCCCAGTCACTGCATCGCCCCCTCCTTAGCCTCCTTCAAGTTCCGCCTCAAGACTCTCCTCTTCGACCATGCCATCAGCCATTCCCTTCCCCTCCCCTCCCTTCAGCTGCCCTGACCCAAGCTCGGGTCTGAAATGCTGTACTCTGTTCAGCGCCTTGGGACGTCCTCCCGACGTGAAAGCCGCTATACAAATGTGATCTTGTTGTTATTGTTCTTGTTGAAGGCAGCGATTCAAGGGGCTAAGTGGCCACTCTTCACCTGAGACTAAATAACAGCAAGATATTCAGCAGTGAATGAGATCACAGTCGTATCTCCCGAGCTTCGGGAATACCTACCATTTTAGAAACGATCACTGAGAATGACACTGAGGCAGAATCAGTTGTAATGCCTGTCATTTTGCCTGTTGTGGTGCAAATGCAGCAAATTGCAGCCAAACTGGCCTCTGATTCTTGCACTCTGTTGAAAGATCCTGGGTGATCTGTGGGGCATATACTTTCCACCAGCGGCCACTGGATAGGATCAGGAAGTATAATTTTTGCCCAGAGAGCAACTGTGGCACCATCACCACTGCTCTGGATGAGATTAGCTAATTCACCAGAGATATCGTTCGTTGTAGAATCTCATCTGTAGATCATCTCCTGAGCTTCAGGAATATCTACCATTTCAGGAACGATCACTGAGGTGGTGTCAGCTCTTGGCCCCTGAACAACTTTGTAGGAAGTTAGCACAAGTCAAAAATCGTTCACGTCCTGGCTAACAACGCTGAGACCGGAAAACATCAGTGCAGGGACTGAGCACCACAAGTAAACTAGCACCACACCGCCCACTGTGAGCCACATTTGATCAGCTTGGTTGACAGCAGTTTCCCAGCATTTGGAAATCTTCAGTGAACGATCAACCATCAGACACCAAACCTTTCTCCCCTTCAGCATCTTGGCTGACAGAGCCCCTTTTGATTTATATACATTTTCTGTTTCTCGTTGCAATATGCATTGTCTTGCACCTCATCTATATTAGAATCCATCTGTTTCTCCTTAGACAATCTGCTCAATAGTCCAGATCTTCTCGAATTTGATAGCTAAGTAAATGTAATAACATTTCTAGATGAGATCTCTTCACAAGTCTTTCTATGATGGCTTATTGTACAATGTATTCTCCCAAGTCTAAAAATTCACTCTAAGTGCTGAAATCTAGGGTACCAAATTAACATGAAAGCTGCTCTTTTAAAGGAGACAATCCAAACTCAGCAATATGAATTAATCTTCCTGAATCACTCTAATTTTTCTTTGGAAAAAGAATAAATATTTTGCAAGATTGATTCTAAAGAAAAATAGATAGCACAGTAAATATTCAGAGAAGTCAGTGTGCCGTGGTTACTTACAAATACTAAATCCTCTTTCTTGATCTTGTGGAATACCATTTGGCTGACATTGTGTCTCTGCAAAGTGGGCGATGTTGGCAAATCAGACCTGCCATTGCTTCTCAAGACCAAAAGATTAGATTTATCTGGAGAAATGAAATCAAAAGCAAATGCAATATTATTATTCAATTCAGATAAAATTATACATCACAAGAGACTATTTTCACTTGCCAATCTCATTAATAATAGTCTTTTATTAATAATCCTTGCATTTGATGTATTGCATTATCACGTTGGGAGGATGTCTTAAATTGCTTCACAGGATTTATCGCATTCTTACAACTTCTTCTTCAAGTTGATTTCTCCCTTTCCTAAGTGCTAACTATTTCCATGCTCCCATGAAGGTACAGTTTCCTGCTCAGAGTGATCTGTCTTTTGATCGCTGCCATTCGACTGCATTTATTTGGGAATTTTTTTTCCAGCAATATTGAACAACAAATTACATTTGTACAGCGCCAGGAGGACATCCCAAGGTGCTGGACAGTCAGGGATCTGCACTTGAGCTGGTGGTTGGGATGAGGAGGGGTAGAGCGGGGAGGGTATGCAGGTTGAGAAATGTTTGACTCCCATTCCAAACACTAACTAAAGAATGACGCTGAGGCAGAATCAGCGTGTCACTTTGCCTGTTGTGGTCCAAATGCAGCAAATGTAAGTCAAACTGGCCGCTGATTCCTGTACTCTGTTGAAGATCTTGGGTGATCTGTGGGACATGTCAAGCCTTTTCTTTTTAACAAATGTCAATAAAGAGCTGATTGTGCTTCGACTGTTATTTAATAACAAATTAATACTCAATTTGGACTTCTCCACGTTCAGTGTGACATGAACACATGGCATACAGGACATTTTAAATCATCACTTCCTCACATACAATCCTCCCTCTTCAAAATCCCAAAGGAAGCACGTTCCCCTTCACCTGAAGGCAATATATGTAATGCTGGCATTTCCCCCGTTTCCTATCCAGGGGAAGGAGGGGAAGCTATTCCCACATCACTAAAGCTCGTCTACTGATGCACTGAGCAAGCAACGGTTTTACTGGATCATTTGTGTGGGAATCTTTGCACGTTCTTAACCAACTGAAAAGGGAAATAAAAGTACTTGTGGAAGTGGTAGTATTGTAACCAGAAAGGGAAAATCAAAGCGCTGAATTTCTCCAATTACCTTTGGGTTTTGGTGGGCAGCATTTGGTAAACTGAAAGATGACGCCTTCTGAACGAACGGTTTCCTTCTGGTAACAATTCAGCAGCTCTTTCAGACTGGAGAAGCTCTTCTTGGTTCCAATCAGATTGTACTCATTGTTTTCATTCTTTGTAATCAAGCAGTGTCGGCATTCAGTCACACCATCCTTCTAACAGAGCAGAATTGAAGGAAGTTAACTTTTTTTCCCCCTCCAGTCTCATTGTACACTTAGCAACTGTCCTGCAATCACCTTTATATAAATATAGAATACCACTGTCAATTGATGGGGAAGAATATTATTTGAAGACATGGTCCCTTTAAAGAAATTAACCTTAGCAGCCTTCCTGTTAACTTCACTGGAGTTCCCTGCATCTAATCCAAGGACATAGCTCTGTGGACAAATCTCATTACTGGTAAGCATTTATTGGTGAGTATTGCTCTGGACGGGACTGCAAAACAAAATTTGGTCATGGCTCTTATGGTGCATCTAGAGCATTTGATCAGGTTGCAAAGATCAATTTTAGTGTTTCTCAAGAGGTTTTTCTTTATCCAGTGGCTAACTGGTGACTGGAACAAGTTATCAGGAAGAATGGTTAAAGTCAAAATGCTGGATACATTTATAAAACAGCTCGTGGCTGTGATGGGAAAATGGCAGTGTGGATATGCAGGAAGATGAGATCAAAGGGCCTTCTTCATCAAAACCTCAATCATGAGAAGCTAAAGCAGTGGAAATGAGAAACATCAAATCTTTTGATCCTGTGAAGTGGTGCGATGCGTGGCCACAGCATGGTGCATCGGCACAGTGGAACCAACCCCTCCTACTGACCCAGGCTCTGTGAGTCTCCTTGCTTTACATGCAAAAAAAATCTTACATTTTTTTCTGTGCAAATCGAACTGAAGTGGATAACCAAGCAAAGCTTGAATCAGTAATTTTTCCACCAAGATTTTTGGTACAAGCGCATGCGTGCGCGCACACACACACGCGCGCTCACCCAAATTCTTCCCAAACAGATACAATAATATGCTCTGAAATTTAGAGTCAGGTAATGTTCATCTCTCACTGATCAAACACTTGAATTACAATGTTAGCCACAGTCACAACTCTGTACACTTACCTCTATAGCAATGGTGAGAAAATACTTGTTGAAGTCTTTAGGACTGCATCGAAGAATGTAAAGGCCTTTCTGATGCCCTGCTTTCTTAAGTTTATTCACAGCAAAGTCCATCCTGGCACAGAAAGAAGGCTTGGTAAGTTTGTGTAAAAAAGACTTGAAAGCTTTGCAACTTATGATGGGATCCTTGCACTGAAGGTTTTATATCAAGTTGATATTACATTCTAATTCCTAGAGTACGAAGAGAACAGAATAATAATAATCCTTGCTTTTGATATATCGTTCAGATGTCTCAAAGCGCTTTACAGAATATGTTGTAAAATGAATGACTATATTTTGTGGGTGAAACGAGGTAGCACACAGCATTGTCCCACAAACAGTCGTGGATTGAGTGACCAAATTATTATTCAAAAAAAGTTTTGAAGGCATTATTATTCCTGGAAAAGTCCACCAATCGACTAACAACTGGGTTCCTACTTGCTGCTAGGTAAACAGAGGCGTGTGGAGTAAGGAAACTTGCCTAAAGTATTGCCCTTAGGATCAACATTCTCAACCTAATTAATTATGTAGATGAATGCAACTTTTATACAGTAGTTGGCGATGTTGCTGCAAGAATTGCAAGGCCAAATTCAATCTACTGCAGATTTATTCATTATTAAATGAATATCCAGTCCTTTTCACAACTGGGAGCACTTATGTACACAAATGTTTACACATGATGGCTTATAATGTTAAAGGTGGCGTCAGACAATGCTCACAACATAAACATTCAAAACTCATTTTTGTTTTGAAGTTGCCCAAGGGGAGAGTGAGTGTACAAAAAAAATCCACTCCTCTCAAACATAATCTACATCATAAACTGAGGAGGCTTTAAATACAGCATTGGAGTCATGGTCAGAGAGAGCCAAAACAATGCAAAGCCTGCAGGGTAAACATTGTAATTGCCACAATGAAGAACACAGAAGCTGCGCGAGTGGGTTTAACATAATAAGCAGTGAGAAAAAGCAGGTTAGGAGCTGTTACCAGAGGGCAGCACTAATGCACAGATCCTGTAGTGACCAAAGCTACAGTCAGTCTTTTCAGTTTAGCAGTAAATAAAATCTGCAGAAAACACTATGCAGGGCAAGTAGTCAGCACCAATTTTCAGTAAAGACAAATTAAATATCGCTTAAAGTATTTTTACATCACTCGCACAAATCTATTACGTAAAACATATGTAAAATAATAGTAATTCCTTGCACTTAATATCGTGCCTTGGTGTAGAGACTGTGTATTTGAGGGAAAAACATGACCAATTTGTGCACAGCAATGTCCCACAAACAGCCATGTGGTGAATGACCCATTTATTACCTGGGGGATTGTTGCCCAGGACCCAAGGAGAAACTCCCTTCTTTTTTTGAATAGTGCTATGAGATATTTAACGTTCATCTGGACAGGCAGACAGGGCATCGGTTCAACATCTCATTTGGGATTTCCAACAATGCAGTGCTCTCCAAACACTGCATTATAATGTCGGCCTAGACTATGAGCTCAGTAGGGCTTCAACACACAAATTCTGATTCACAAGTGAAAATACTACCAACTGAATCAGGTATGTGTCATATGTAACCTCATACGTAATGAGGAAATTACTGGTGTCTTAAATGATGAAAAGGATTGGCTGTCAGTTTCATTATGAATAAATCCTGCTGACCTCCCAGCTCCACCTCCTTGCCCCTCTACTCACAGACACCATCAAACTTGCCTTGTCCACTGGTACCATTCCCACCCCTTAAAACAGCCGTCATCAGCCCTAACCCTCAAAAAACCTTCCCTGGACCCATCCCCACTCTCAAATTACTGCCCCAACTCGAACCTCCCTTTCCATGGTCCTGGAACGAGTCATTGCTTACCAGCTTTGTTCCTTCCTCTCCCGGCAATCCCTTCACGAACCCCTCCAATCAGGTTTCCGTGCTACCCACAGCACAGAAACAGCCCTGGTCAAAGTGACAAATGACATTTTGTCCATCTGTGACCAGGGCTCCTTCTGCCTCTTCATCCTCCTTGACCTCTCTGCTGCCTTCGACACTGTCGACTACTCTTATCTTCCTCCACCGCCTCTCCTCTCACCTCAACCTTCACGGTCCTGTACTTGACTAGTTCAGATCCTATTTTTAATATCGTCTCCACTTTGCCACCACAAACGGCTTCTCCTCTAGCCCACACACTGTCTTGTGCAGTGTTCCTCAAGGCTATGTTCTTGGTCCCCTCCTCTTCCAACATCTACATGCTCCCTTTTGGTGGCATCATCAGCAGACATGGGGTCAACTGCCACAAGTATGCGGATGACACACAACTCTATCTTTCTGCCTCTACCCTCAACTCCAGGACCACTGCTGTCCTGACAAAACATCTGTCAGACATCAAGTCCTGGATTAGAGATAACTTTCTAAAGTTGAACGTCAACAAGACCGATGCCCTCCTGATTGGCTCCCTCAACTGTTATTTCTACCCCATATCCATGCCATGACCTGCTCTCCCCCAACCTCCGCAACATCACCCAGCTCCGCCACTGTCTCACCGCTCAGGCCACCAAAATCCTCAGCCATGCATTTATTACATCTAGCCAGACTTCCCCACTCTTCCCTCCACAAGCTGCAGATCATTCAGAACTCTGCAACTAAGGTCCTCTCCCACACCTGCTCCATGACCCCATCACCCCCACAGGATTCCACTGGCTCCCCATCCCCCAGAGGATAGAGTTCAAAATCCTCATCCTCACCTTCAAAGCCCTCCGTGGCCTTGCTCCTTCCTACCACTCTGTGACCTGCTAATGCCATATAAGTCTAATGCTAATGCCGTGGAGTCCTGTAGCTCAGTGGTTAGAGCACTCGCTTTGCAAGTGAGAGACCTGAGTTCAATTCCAGACAGGGCGAAACCTTGGGCAAGTTTCCTTACTCCACACAGAGCCTAATAATAATCCCTCCAAAAAAAAAACAATAATTAAATTGGTCATTTTCAATCTACGACTGTTTGTGGGACATTGCTGTGCGCAATTGGCTGCTGCGTTCGCCCACAAATATACAGTCAATTCACTTTACAGTGTGTTCTGTGAAGCGCTTTGGGACGTCCTCCCGACGTGAAAAGCGCTATATCAAATGCAAGGATTATTATTATTATTATAAATCTGTCTGCTCCCTACACTTAGCAGGCTGTGGCCTGCACCATGTCCCTCACCCAGCCCACCCCATCAGTCTCTCTGCCACCACCCTTTCGAACTGTAAGTCCCTTTGCCTTGCTCCCTTTCTTGCCTCCTTCAAGGCATGTTTCAAGACCCTCCTCTTCAACTGCACCTTCGGTCACCCTCCTACCCCTGCCCTCCCTGCTCTCCACCCCACCTTCCCAACCCCCTGTTCGGGTCTAAATCCCTGACTGTCCAGTGCTTTGGGCTGTCCTCCTGACGTGAAAGGCGCTATACAAATGCAATTTGTTGTTGTATTAATTAGATCATTGAGGGAATTTTATTGCAGGTTATTTATGCATGGTCCATACATATACACCCCAAAGTTGAGTGCAAGTGTCTGTCTGGCTCAATAGCAATGAGTATTCTCACCTTTAAGTCAGAAGGCAGTGGATTCAAGCCCCACTTCAGGACTTTGAACAAATAAAGCCTATGCTGATACTCCAATGCAGAACTGGGAGTGTACTCTATTGTTGTCCTTTGGGTGAGAGTTTAAATTGAGGACTTATCTGCTTATTCAGGGGGTCTTTAAAGATTTCATGGCACTATTCAAAAAGAGAAGGGGGATCTCCTGGTGTCCTGGCCAACAATCCCTCTTATAAAATTGGTGATTCACTTCATCGTTGTTTGTTGGAAATTGCTGTTTGCAAATTAAATGCTGCATTAACCTACAAAATACACCATTACTGCACTTTATAATAAATCCTATGAAGCGCTTTGAGACATCCTCCGAACATGAAAGGTGCTATACCAAATGCAATAATTATCATTATTATTAAGCATATCAATATCATTACAAAGTATTGAGCCACAGAGTACAGTCATTTGAGTTTTCCTCCTTTCTCAGCACTTTGGTCACAGGAAAGAGATCCATTTTCATTTCAACATGCGGAGGAAGGGAAGAATAGATATATTGTGCTGACGTAGAACTTATCTGGAAGCTAGCCCAAGGGATCAAAACACCACTTACGAGTTACTGCTGGACTCAGCCGTCAAAGGACATTTTGTGGTTAGGCAGCTCAGAAAAAGCTTCCAAGTTAACCAAAAAAACAGCCCGCAATTGAAGTCTGCCAGGAACTTGCAGCACCTTTTACTATAACCTACTGTAGCAAATTGGCTCAGAGAGGAAGGATATCCAAATGGCAAAATTGGCTCATATTGAGCTTACGGTTGCTTAACATTGTTGCGAAGAGGTCACATTTCATACACATTGCAACAAGGGAGCACACCCCACACCCCCAACCATCTAAGCATGTGTGTACAAGTTTAATGTACCAGACCTTCTAAAACAAGTAAAACAAAAAAAAACTGGCACTTACGAGACTGGCCCATGACATTTGCTTTGAATGTTTTCCAGCAATCTGGGAGGTGCAACCTCTTTGCAGAGATAGTGATGAGCATCTGCAGTTAGCCTGTAGTAGCCATCAATTAACGACACGAACGAAAGAGCCTCTTTCAGGGATGGAAACTCCACTTCCTATCCAAAAAAGAAATAAAATGAAATTCACAAGTGTGCTAAAATATAACTTAAAGAAAAATCATTTCCAGGGCGGTCCTTGTATATACATTTAAAACACTGGTTGCTTCAGAGTGGAGAAAACTTCTACCTAAAATCAGGGCAGCAAAATAACATTTTCATAAACAAAAACTTTCAAAAGTTTACATATAGATATTTTATAAAGTACTTGAACATGTTACACGGTACTTGTGAGGAATAATTGGTGCTCTTTTGCTGTGTGTGTGTGTGGGTGGGTGTGCGCGCGCGTTGGGAATGATGTACATTTAAAGAGTTAGATTTTTCTTAGGCATGTTGAGTTACATTTGTCAGCTAACTGCTTGCTGGCTGGGTATAACCTGGGCATTGTGCAGAAGCTGGCTTAGTCTGACATTAGGCAGCCTTCTGATCAAAGATTGAAGTAAGCCTGTGTAAGAATACACATACAATTCCCATTTGTATAGCTTCCGAGTCATAGACTGCAGCAAACTCATATGTACAGCTTGATGGTCAGAGACTGCAGTTAGTCCGATACGTTCAGCTTGATTGTCAGTTTGCCGAATGTACGAAAACTGGAATAGTGACAATAATTAATACAAGTGGATTTATATTGTGATCCCTGACTGTTCAGCGCCTTGGGATGTCCTCCCGACGTGAAAGGCACTTTACAAATGTAATTTTGTTGTTGTTATATAGTACCTTTCACATAACGCAAAACAACCTGAAGTGCTTTAGAAAAAGTATTACATAAATCACAACACAGATCCAATTGTAGGACAAAGGGAAGATCAAGGAGATAAGGAAGTATGGAGTCTTGAGATTCTGGGGAAGAATAACAACAACTTGGATTTATATAGCGCACTCCACGCCGGACGGCGTCTCAGAGGGCTTCACAATAACGGATCCCGGGGCCAAGTCAGGGGGAGGGAGAGGAAGGTGACCAAAGGTGCGGTCAAAAAGAAAGGTCTTCAGCCGAGACCTGAAAATAGGAAGAGAGGGGGCGAGGCGAAGGGAATGAGGAAGGGAGTTCCAGAGCCTCGGGGCATAGTGGCTGAAGGCACGGCCGCCGATGGTGAAGCGGAGGACTCGGGGAACGAGGAGGAGGCCAGACTCGAATGGAGCGAAGGCGATGGGCACTGTTGTAAGGAGAGAGGAGGTCAGAAAGGCAGGGGGTTGCAGAGAAGTGGAGGGATTTGAAGGCAAGAGTGAGGATCTTGAAATCGATCCTCTCTGGGACAGGCAGCCAGTGTAGTCTGGCAAGGACTGGGGTGATCGGGGAGCAGAGTTTGGTGCGGGTAAGAATGCAGGCGGCAGAGTTCTGGATGACCTGAATTTTATTAATGGTAGCGGAGGGGAGACTGGCGAGGAGGATGTTTGAATAGTCCAGCTGAGAGGTGACAAAGGAGTCCTGTAGCTCAGTGGTTAGAGCATTCGCTTTGCAAGCGAGGCACCTGAGTTCAATTCCAGGCAGGGCGAAACCTTGGGCAAGTTTCCTTACTCCACACACCTAATAATAATCCCTCCAAAACAAAAATAAAATTGGTCATTTTCAATCCATGACTGCTGTTTGTGGGACATTGCTGTGCGCAATTGGCTGCCGCGTTCGCCCACAAATATACAGTTAATTCACTTTACAGTATATTCTGTGAAGCGCTTTGGGACCTCCTCCCGACGTGAAAAGCGCTATATCAAATGCAAGGATTATTATTATTATTTATTATTAAAGGCAAATAAGTTAAGAGAAGCAGACAGTGTTCCGAGTTTGGAATACAATATAGTAAGGATTGTCGCAATGAGAAAGAGTACTTAGGATATTTGGAACTTGGGAAGAAAATAAAGTTTGAAGAAGCTTAGTAATATTGGACAAAGATCGAGAAACAGCAGCAAAATCTGCACAAATGGAGGAACAAAGGTGGAATGAGGAAACTTGATTGTCATTATCAGGCAGAGAAAAGCAAAAGCAAAACCGCCGAGTTTATCAGCATGTATCAGAAGTTAAACCTGGATCCCATCTGCCTTCTCAGGTGGATATTGAAGATCCCATGGCACTATTCAAAAAGAGAATGTCTTGGCCAACACTCCTCCAGATAAAATGGTCACTCACTCCATGGCTATTTGTGGGACTTTGCTGTGCGCAAATTGGCTGCTGCGTTTGCTCACAAAATTCACAGTTACTACACTTCACAGTAAATCCAGTGAAGTACTTTGAGTTTCCTCGACGTCGTGATAAGGCGCTCTATGAAATGCAACGATTATTTAAAATGTGTGATGAGCGCAAGCAATGCACAAATGCCATTCAATGTGGTCCCAGCAGGTGGCGATGTTCCACAATGTTTCATACTAATCCTCGCATTTGATACAGCGTCTCATCATGTTGAAGCGTCTCAAAGTGCTTCATAATAATAATCCTTAATAATAATAATCCTTTCATTTGATATAGCGCTTTTCACGTCTTCTGGATGTCTCAAAGCGCTTCACAGAATACACTGTAAAGTGAACTGACCGTATATTTGTGGGCGAAACACCCACAATGGGCCTGATATAGCAATGCTTGGCAAAATAATACTGTTCAGAACATAACAATTTCCTGAAAAACATGTTTGCCCAGGTCTGAAACCATCCACAGTGTGCCTGAACTGTTATGAAATCTTCTCTGCATTATAATAATCTTTGCATTTAATATATCAAAGTGCTTCTCAGGATCTACTGTAAAGTGTAGTCACTGTATTTTGTAGTCGAACACAGCAACCAATTTGTGTACTGCAATGTCCAACAAGCAGTCATTAAGTGAATGACAAATTGTATTTGGGGGACTGCTGAAGCAAGTAATTCTTCTGCTTCTGACACATAGTGAAATGTACCTTTTGATGTCAATGGTGCCTTTGGACATCGCCAGGAATCACTGACAATGCTAGAAAGAGACGTCACTGCTCACCGGCATCTTCTCGTGCACAGCACAGGACACTGGGAGACACTCCATTCTCTTTTCAAATAGTGCCATAGGATCTTCATCTGAACAGGCAGACGGGACCTTGGTTTTAACATCTGATACATAAGATACACTTGGCAGTTTAGCTTCTCCTTGCCTTATGGAGAGGAGTTATACCGATACTGAGCCAGACCTGCATTATTTCAGACATGTCAGACTGTAATGTATTTACATTTCCAGTCTGGCTCAGTAGGTAGCATTCATGTCGCTGAGTCAGACGGTTGTGGAGTCAAGCCTCATGTCAGGACATTGAACTCACAAAGTCTAGGCTAATGCTCTAGTATAGTGCTGGGGATGTGCTACATTGTTGGTAGTGCTGTCGTTTAATTGACATGTTAAACCAAGAGATCCCATCTGCCTGTTCAGGTGGGCGTTAGAAGATCCCATGGGCGCCATTCGAAAAGAGAAGGGAGTTTCTCCTGATGCCCTGCCAAACAATGTCCCAAATTAAATTGGTCATTCACTTTATGGCTGTTTGTGGAGCATTGTTGTGAAAAATTGGCTACAACATTTGCCTACAAACACCTCCATCACTACACTTCACTGTAAAATCCTGTGAAGCGCTTTGAGATGTCTAAACAAGTGATAATGCGCTACATCCAATGCAAGGATTATTATTGTCATTCTTTCTGTATTTGTCTGCAGTTTACATTCTTATGCAATAAACTAATTTTGGGGTGGGATAAGAAGTTGGTTGTTCAACACTATAATAATAATCCTTGCATTTGATATGGTGCCTTATCATGTTCGAGACATCTCAAAACACTTCATAGAATATACTGTAAAATAAATTGACTATATTTTGTGGGCGAAACGCAGCAGCCAATTGCGCACAGCAGTGTCCCACAAAGTGTCCCACAAACAGGGTGACCTAATTATTATTATCATTTGTTATATTTTATTTTGAAGGGATTATTACTCCTGGAAAAGCGATCCATCAATCAACTAACAACCGGGTTCCTACTTACTAACAGAGACGTGTGGAGTAAGGAAACTTGCCTAAGGTTTGGTCCTGCCATGGAATTGAATCCATGGCTTCACCGCTTATGAGGCGAGTGCACTACACTACAGGCCTCCACAAAACTAATACTAATAACTTTTCCATTCACCAGTCGTCACCCTTTGGATTAATCGAACCATGCCCTTGCTAGCCTGAATTTCCTACTTGAATACTGTGGGTTTAAACTTAGGGCGATTAGTGTTGTCTCCTCCTTACCAAGATGCTGCTGTGCTGTCTGTTGATGGTGACAATTCTGCCTTCTGTCGAGCTATCCTTGTTTGCTTGCTTGATGCTGACATTGATGATATCAGGGAAATCACAATATGGTTGTAGATCCTGTGCACAGACGAAAGGTGTTATTACTGTGATGCCAGTCACAAACAAGTCAGCCTCCGAACCACCTTGACAGCACTTCATTCTTGTGGCGCATATTTAAAATGATGAAACTACATCAGTAGATCAAATAAAAGCAAATTCTACCATGCACACCTCCCACCATTCATTTCTGCAGAATGTTTTGCTTCTGAATAAGACCAGATTTTTCTATTTTCTATTACAACTGATCACACACGACCCTGCGACCTCTCATACTGCAGTCTGCCTCTTAGAGAGAAGGTCGTAGAAATATCCTGTACTCTTCCAGTAAACCCCTCTTCCTTTAGTAACTTTTTTTGATTTTTCAAATAAAATGTCACAAAAAAATCATCCAATATACGAAGATTTGGTTTAGAGACTTGAATCTCATAAACTTAGTAGATAATAGCCAATAATAATTCACCTTATATTCATCAGTCAACATATATTCATTGTTTAAATGCAGAAACCCATCACAATGCTTAAGAGTATACAAACCAGACTGAGAGATTCATGCAGCTCACCTACACATAAAAAATTCTGTATGTCTGGAATGGAATGCATTCCACGCTCTCCCCGGAGAGATGATCCCTGCTTACCTAATTCCAGAGAGCATTTGGAGCAGGATGGCACGAGCCAAGGCTTGGGGTCCCCAGAGTTTACAATGGGGTACTGCTGGAGCTTAATCTGTTAAAATCAATTGCTAGCACTATTTGGCAAGCTTCCTGTTGCTTGTCCAGCTAGGATGGCTCTACCCATTAGGGCTTTGATATACAGAGTTAACAGGAGCTGAGTGGAAAGAATCCCTGGCTCAGGCTGCTCCTCCAAGTTCTGCCAATGAGCCAGGCTGGCTGGTCTGTCGTTAGGAATACTGTGGCCCCCGCACCGGTTCAGGAATCAGGCAATCTAGAGCGCTACAGAGGTTTGGCTCGATTCTAATATTCCACTGGCAAGCATGTCATCTGCCCCAAAGGGGCCCCACTAACCTGCTTGACAAGGAGGCTAATATGGACCACAAGAATTACAAAACAAAAGATTATAACCAATGTGAACAGCTCAGATGCCAATTCTTCAGCTCTGCTCTAAATATTAGAAATCAATGCAGATTGCCTAAAAAATCTTACAATGAATGTTACCTGATCAGAGCCATACTCGTTGTCTTTACGTTTCCCTTTCATCCAATGGATACCGCCGTTTCCAGTTACAATTATGGTCACAAAGATATTTTCTCCCGAGGGTCCTCTCATCAGTTCCCTCACTTCAAAATACTCAGAGAAAAAGGAAGGCTGAAGAGTTTCCATGTTAATCAGATACTTCAGCTTCAGGTCTCGGGCACTGGCATTGCACTGGCTGAACTGTCGAATGAACCGGTAAAACCTGTACCGGATTCGCTTCCTGGTCACAAAGTGGTAGTTCTGGATCTCTACACGGATGTTTTTTGGTAACAAGGATTTGTAACTGGAAATTAAAAAAATGCAGTAAGTTGGGAAAGTATACAAAACCTTGCATTTGGTTTAGTATCTTTCACATTAGGACGACATCCTAAAGTGCTTCAAAGGATATAGTGTAAACTGGCGTGACTGTACATGTTATTGGGCAAACGGAAATAACACACAACAAATAAGTGTTACGCTGCTGAGAGCAACGTTATTTCGCCCCCAGCTGTATAACCACAGTGTTATGCCAATTTCAGCTCTATCGAACTAAGGGGAAAAGAAGATAAAAAGAGTGTTAAGTAGAGCAGTCAGACAGCTGACAAGTATTTGGTTTGAGCTCACCCTAAGACAGGAAATCCTCTCAATGGGAACATTAAGCAACACAGCTGCAAGCAAGGTCTACAAGTTGTTTGCCACAGTCTGGATTGACACAAGCTCTTTGAACTGTGACCGCAGCAAGCTGGATTGCATAGCACTCTGCACACCAATCCTTCCCTTTGTAATCTAGTTACTAGTATTAATTCACTGAAAGTTGTTCTTCTCGTTATCCTCCATCAGACTACAATTTTCTGTTAATTCTCACATTTCTCTACCAATTACAAATCATTGTTCAACCACATTGGGCTATTTTTAGACACATCGTCACTACCAATTCTTTCTCATTGCTTTAATTTCTTTTCCTCCTGGTCCTTTCTTTCTCTCATTATCCCCCGACTTTTTAATGTCACTTTCTATTACTTCTCAAAGTCTCCGTCTCTTCCCCCATCCTCATTGCCAGAGTGACATAACTCTGGCTATCGGAAAGAAACCCTACTCAGACGTTTTGCAAAACTCGTATTAGGAAACGCATGCAAAACTCAATGCAATATTAGTTATAAACTATAAACTGTGGGATGCTGCAGCTAAGCTCACACTGCACACCAACTTCCTGGTTCCGCCCCTGCAATCAAGGGGGAGGCACAGAGGAATGGCCATGATCTTCACCGGAGGGAAAACAAGCCACATTGGGCTTTTTGCAAACTTCCTCACTACCCATTCTTGCTTATTGTTTGAATTTCTTTTCTTCCTGTCCTTCCTCTCATTTTATCCGCAAACTATGTACTGTTACTTTCTATCACTTTTCAAATCCTCTGCCTTTTCCCCTATTCTCAATGCTGGGAACTTATTCCGTATACGTATCCCTCTGTTGGACTTGGACTGAAAGGATTGCACTTAAAAGAGCTAGCCCAGACTTAATAACCAAACCGCTTTCTTCTGTGCTGTAAATTTCTATGGTTTCTACGTTGACCCCCTCTCAATCCATGCTCCATATATTTTTCATGCTTCCTCATTCCTCGCTCCTAAGTGTTCCTAAACACCTGCCATGCCTCACTATCTAAATGTCTGCCTGTCCAATACCAAGTGTCATGGGACCCGAATGGGAGACACGGCTATCCCAAACTTCCATGTGGGTAAAATGATTCTGTTGGGAGGGAAATGCTTTCAGAGCATGGGAAAGGTTACTAGGATAGTTTTTGTGTTGAGAACACTTATGGAATAAATTTCATCAAGCTCTTTAAAGCAACAGCTACAATTTGTCTTGCCCATCCCAAGTGTTCTTCCAATCTCTACCAGAAGCTCCCAGTAACTCCCTCCCTCTCCTCTGCTCACAATGTGATTAATATTGAGGCATTTCTGAATGAGATTTCTTAGTTAAGAAATAAAGGCTGCTCCAGAAAATTTCTTGATCCCATTACAAAACATCCAATACTGAATGCACTATTGGTTACAAACTGTGAAGCAGCCACAACTTTCAGCCAGTAAATGTGAGTGAAATGGCCTTTACTCTGAAGTTAGCATTCTTCTTGGCCACAGAGCTTCTTTTCTATACTTCGTTTGCTTTCTCTATATCAAAATCTAGTACCATAAAAGCCAATTTAATCTCAATAGCTTTGACGGGTTAAAACTTATTCCTTTGGCACTGAATGCTGTGCTCACAAACACCACTTTCATATCACATCACTTGCATAATGCTGCCATACGTAAAATACACAGTCGTTACACTTTACAGAAAATCCAAGTGCTTTGATACATCCTCACAACGCAAAATTAAATCAAGGATTAGCATTATTATTAATATATGAAGTTCCACACACACAAACACATACACAAACACAAGAAAAAGCTGGAAAATGGAAATTTATCTGAATTTTATGGGTGTGGCTGCATTAAGAGAAACGTTTTAAGGTCAGTGCCATCACTTGAACGTCACATGTAGGGCAGCCCACGTAAAAAGGTGTAAAATGTTAATGTTAAAGCAGTACAAGGTGGTAGGTGGTGGTGGTGGGAATAGCAAACGTATGCTGGATCATGAAATAAAACAAGACTGTAAATGCACAGCAGGAAGAAGCTGGTAGCTTTTGCATCCCTCCCCCATACCTATTTGAGTGATAGATGTCCAGGGGTGACAGTTCTTTTTCCTTTGCCATTCTCATCATATCAAGTACTGCCATGCCCAGAGATTCTTCTTGCGTTTCGTGCGTAACTGGTATTTTTATCCATCCATTTACAAAGTCATCTCGCCACTATAAGATAAATAAAAAGGATGAATTTAGACACCAGCTCTTCAGTGAACTACCACCTATGACATAAAGTGATATTTGTCCATTCCCCTTCCTTCCGTGCAAGGAAGGTCTCTGCTTAACCACCTCTCCTCTCACCTCAACCTTCACTTCTCTGTCCTTGACTGGTTCAGATTGTACCTCTCACACCGCCTGCACTTCATCTCCACAAACTGCATCTCCTATAGCCCCCGGAGCGTCTCATGCGGCGTTCCTTTGTCCTTGTTCCCCTCCTCTTCAATATCTACATGTTCCCTCTTGGTGACATCATCCGCAGACGCGAGGTCAATTTCCACATGTATGCGGATGACACCCAACTCTACCTCTCTGCCTCCATCCTTGACTCGAGGACCACTGCTGTCCTGACAGAATGTTTGTCAGACATCAAGTCCTGGATGAGAGCTAACTTTCTACAGTTGAACGTCAACAAGACCGAGGCTCTCCTGATTGGTTCCCGTCAGCGCCTCCTCACCTCAGGCGCTGACACCATCACCATCCATGGATACACACTCCACCTCACTGAGCCAGTCCGGAACCTTGGGGTCTTGTTTGACCCTCAACTATCCTTTCTACCCCAGATCGGTCCAATGACCCGCTCTGCCTTCCCCCACCTCTGCAAAATCACCCGGCTCTGCCATCGTTTCACACCGCAGGCCGCCGAAACCCTCATACACACATTCATTACATCGAGGCTCGACTATGCAAACTCTTTGCTTATCGGCCTCCCCAACGCTCGCTCCATAAGCTACAGATCATGCAGAACTCTGCAACCCATGTCCTCTCCCGCACCAGGCTCCGGACCATATCACCGCCATCCTCGCCCGACTCCACTGGCTTCCCATCACACAGAGGATGCAGTTCAAGATTCTGGTCCTCACCTTCAAAGCCCTCCAAGGTCTTGCTCCCCCCTAACTCTGCAACCTTCTAACCCCCTACCATCCTGCTCGCTCCCTCTGCTCAGCAGACTCCGGCCTGCTTCACGTCCCCCATCTTGCTCACCCCACTATTGGCGGGCGGTCCTTCTGCCACTCTGCCCCCACCCTCTGGAACTCCAACCCGCAGTTACTTCACCTCGTCCCCTCCCTTGCCACCTTCAAGACCCATTTCAAGACCCTCCTCTTTGACCATGCTTTTGATCTCCCTGCTTCCCCCCTGCCCTCCACCCTCCCCCACCCCCCAGCTCGTATCCGAAACACTGACTGTCCAGCGCCTTGGGACGTCCTCCTGACGTGAAAGGCGCTGTACAAATGTAATTTTGTTGTTGTTGTTAATGCTCCATCTGACAGGATAAGCAATATTGGTAACCTACCAGTGAAACATGCATCCTACCACTATGTGACAGCACACTGATATTTATTTGTGTTCTTTGCCTTTTAAGCGCTCTGGGATGCTACCCTTTGTGAGGGGCGCTATATAAATGCATAAAAAGTTATTATATAAATAAAAGTTATTGTTGTTGTGCCCTCTGCAGGTTTCAAGTTTCTCTTAGACTTTTATAATATAAAGATCGTAGGTGTTTTTTTCCACTTTTATTTGGTCAGCCAAGTGTCGGACACATGCAGAAACTCATCACCATGCTTAAGAGTATCCAAATCAGATAAGAGTTTCACATAGGTTTACCACCTAAACATGGAAATTTCCCAGTGTCTGGAAGGAATGTGAACTCCCTACCCTGAAGAACCCATCCTGCTTACCAAAATCTGGAAATTACCAGACAGATTGTTGAGAGGTAAGGCTTGGGGACCCCAAAGTATGGGGTTGGGGGTATTCTGGAGTCTAACCAGCTAAAACTACATAGCTTGCCGCAAAACACACCGATACCTACTTCACCAAAGCAGATTCTGGGCACAAGACAGGAGAATTCCCTTCAAATCCAGGCTCACTTTGAATGGTAGTTATGTTTATTTAATAATAATAATAATCCTTGCATTTGATATAGCGATTTTCACGTCGGGAGGACGTCCCAAAGCGCTTCACAGAACACACTGTAAAGTGAATTGACTGTATATTTGTGGGCGAACGCGGCAGCCAATTGCGCACAGCAATGTCCCACAAACAGTCGTAGATTGAAAATGACCAATTTATTATTGTTTTTGGTTTTGGAGGGATTATTATTAGGCTCTGTGTGGAGTAAGGAAACTTGCCCAAGGTTTCGCCCTGCCTGGAATTGAACCCAGGTCTCTCGCTTGTAAAGCGAGTGCTCTAACCACTGAGCTACAGGACTCCACATTATTTTTCATATTATAGGGTGTTGATGGTGTTTTGAGTATTTTAAACTCCACACTGAATTCCCTCTTGTAAGAGCCTGAAGTATATATTGAATGATAAGAAGTCTCTTATATAGTCTCCAGAATTAATCTTAAGATTTGTTCGGGAGCTGGTTTTGGAGATAGAACTACATAAACTCTGCAGAATAAACTGCAATAGTTCTCAGAGATGTTTATGTTTCAGCAGTTGTATTTACATCACTCTGGAACATTTTGATGTACTTTCAATGTACTCTCTCCATATTAGGCAGTATTGTATTATAGGGTAGCACTAATGAAAGGTTATGTTTTGCTTATTTGCACTAAAAAACAGATCGGTATAGTACACCCCAACCTCAAAGACGTCAAACCACATCTACCTTCTCTAAATGAGTTTTCTATTTTCCAAACTATGGGCAGTTGTGTGCTTTGGGCTAGTATCCAAGAAGAGCTGGAGTGAGTGTGCAGAAGTTATTTTCCATTGACCTTAACAGCAATCAGACAGAGGGCATGGAAATCAGCTTTCAACAACATGGTTCCCCGTTAATTAGAATAACAAGTTTGCTTAGAATGCAGTCTTTTGTGGACTTGAAATTATCAGAAGTGCTTCCAGTTATAACAGACACAGTCTGTCTAATTTTATGGATCTGAGAAACTGTGTTACAATGAACTCAGTCTATAATTTCCAACGCAGGAGGTGAATTGACAATATTCCAACGTCCTGTGCCACTCTGGCATTAAATGTTTATAATAATCTTGGTATTTGGTATAGGACTTTATCAAGTTGTCAAAATGTTTGGCAGAGCTTCAACTTGCATTTACTGTAAAGTGCAGTGATTGTGTATTTGAGGGCAAAGACTGCAGTGAATCTGTGCACAGCAACGTCCTGCAAACAGCCATGAAGGTGATTGCGAAATTGTTAGCCAGGATACCAGGAGGCATTCCCTTGTCTTTTGGAATTGGGCTCAAGATCTTTAACAAGATCCACCTATCCAGGAGCAATATAAATCAAAGCTTGATTTAAATTAGGGTTGAAGCAAAATGCCAGTCGGGTATTGTTAAATAGGTTTGTTAAGATGTTTTGACTTAATAAGCTTTATGCTTATTTAAAAAGAATCAATGCAATCAAAGCTTGAAGCTGAACCACAAAAACATTTTGAAATTGGAGGAATAAATGAATCAAACAAAAAATATTTGTTTATGCCTACTATCCACAACACTCAATGCATTGATCGAGACAATTAAGATTGTCAGAATCAATAAACCTGTTTTTATTAATACTCAACTTTCCTCTATGGGCAGGAGGGGAGGAAGAAGGTAAGCGGGGTCTCCTTGGAGCTAAGCTGGAGCAGAATATTGGAATCGAGTCAACCATCTGTCGTACAGTCGTATGGTTCGGAGTCAAATAATTCTCATTTCAGATGCTGCCTGGACCATGGGTTCCCCTTGGACTGAGCCATTCAGTGATATAGATAATGGACAGATGCCTATAACATTCTAGAGGCTCCTGTGAGCTACAGGCGAGCTTTAGACCAGCCATAATACTGACCCAGAGCGTCTCCAACTCGAGAAGCATCAGTACTGGTCAGTATACAGTACAAAATAGTTGACCTCACTCGTAATTACTTGCCAGTCTATAGAAATTCATCAACATTAGCCTCAACTCAAATTAACTAGGCTAACTATCTAACACCTAAGTTTAGCTTCCAATCTGGCAAGATCTGGAGCACATTATTTCCATAACATAAGTAGGAGTTTTCCAAAGAGGTCATGTTTCCAACTGCACGGCGTAACATGATGCTGCTTATTGAAAGGTCATCGACGACTATTTGCATTTCATTGGCAGTGTTTTCTTGTGGCACAGCATAAATATTAAGGTATCATCATAAAGACTTATGTAATTATACAGTGCAAATATTTATAAGCCCCCTTATAGGTTATAAATTAACAATTATCTGATATGTTCAACACTTATCGTATCAGTCGCAAACTAATTCTAGCCACAATTCTCCTGCATAATATTAAAATTGAAGCAACTACAACAACAAGATTACTATAGTGGACAATGCATATATTATTAGTCCACACATGCAAGCCTAAATGGGCAGCGTACTATACCTGAGCAAAAAGGTAGGTCATTATGGTATCATCTATAAAAGGGCTCTCCATGCCCTTGCTAACACCATAGCGATAAGCTCGATTACATCCAGGACTATACCAGTGCGGAAAATAGAACCTGTTGGTAAACAAATCAAATTATTACTTTCACCAGTCTGTTGAATGATTAATTGATTATAAGTCATCAATTGCAATACATTTGGCTTCATACATATCACAGAACATAGATTTCCACAAAAGGATCATTTCACTTACCTTAGCCTTGCTATATAATTGCCCATGTAACAGAACCCATTTGGTCCTGAAATTGTGTGATTAAATCCTGCATTTAATCTAATGGACACTAATGTTTGTGTGTATTTCTGAGATGAAACATCTTAAAACTGCACAGATAGCTTCTATTTATAAAAAGGTACGCGGAATATCAATTGAGAAGTCTGGGTGAAGTGCCAAGTCAGAGAGTAAAGGACATCATGATGGTTGAAAAAGGATATACTGTCATGCAGTGAATGACCAATTTTATTTGGGTGATTGTTGGCCAAGAACACTGGGAGAAACTCCCTCCTTTTTTCAAAAATCTGGAAAATCTTTAAAGTCCTTCTGGTCTGGCAGATGGGACCTCAGTTTAATGTCTTATCCAAGGGATGACACCTCCAACAATACAACACACTCCCTGCACTGCATTGGAGGGTCAGCCTGCACTATGAGAATTCAAAATCCCAACATGGGACTTGAACCAACTTCTGAATCAGAGACAAGAGTGCTACCAACTTAGCCAGGCCAACACACATATAGCGTTTATCTTGTTGCTGAAATAAATGTATTAGAGTGTAGTGACTGTGTAGGTGAATTATAGTTTTAGTTGTAGACCATGGTGATGCCAAAGATTGGGAGACAATTACTGTCCTGGCTCAGTAATGATGAATAGTTACTCAGAAAAGTAATGGGAGCTGTTTTGTGAGAGAATGCTAAGTTGTTCCATTCTATAAACAGAAGATGCTCAACTGCATTGCAGTGTCAGTCTAGACAGCCTTGAGCTCAAAATACCGATCTGAGGTTTGAAGCCCCAAATCTCTGACTCAGAAGCAAGAATGCTACCAGCAAAGCCAGGCAGACAGATGCTATCAAATGCAAAGATTATTAGTCAGATACAATATCTGTTCACGTGTAGAGTAAAGCTATTTGGACATTTGAACAGTTGATTAATGTATTGTGCAAAAGGAAAAGTAAAATGTAAACATACTTTTACAGAAGAAAACTCATTCCCATAGGTTTACTTTACATCACAAGCCCAACGTGCCCAAAGAAAAATCAATAAGGACTTTCCAAAGGTAGAAAACATTTTTAAAAATTCAGAAGAAAAACACCTACAGTTTCAGTGCTGAATCTGCTAAATCCTGACTACTGATTTATTGAATACTCAATAATGGCAGGAAAAATCAATGGCAGGAAAAATCTAACCAACCTCAACCGATAGACGACTGATTCACTTTCCGATTCATCAATATGGAAGACATGGTTTGGAGGATACCAAAATCTGCCATTCTCGTCCATCAGCGCATATAGGTTATGGTATACTGGTGAGATACCTGGAAAAGAAAAAATACCTGGATTAAACATGGATAAACATCAAATATAAATGGAATTTGTTGCTGTTGTTGCTTTAGTATTGGAGTATATCTATATATATTATATATATCTCCTTCAGCCATTTGGCTGGAGGTTTTCACTAACATAAGTACTTCAGTTGCAGCCTCTCCACATGTTTCAATTATCCACAACATGTCTCCTGCTCATAATCTTGCACTGCATTTCAGTAAGAAACACTTTGCCACTGGCTTACAACCACTTGCTAAAATATTAAGTGTAGGACCAAAGCCCTGTGTAAGTTCACTGCAGATTCAGATTACTAAATATGAATGAAATTCAAACTTGGCCATGTAAACACAATCTATCTCAAATCTAAAGTGCCTTACTCCACACAGTTCAGTTTTACCAAGGATCATATGAAATCAAGATTAAATCATAAAAAAAAACCAAGGTAGCGAGGCTAAGAGACAAAAATAGACAGGACAGTACAGATACTGAAAACAGGAGAGAAAACAAAAGGTTAGAAATACAGTACAGCAACTTGAAACATCAAATTACAAATTCACTGAAAGAAATAAGCATCACGCATCATTCACCTACAAATCAGTCATAACACTTTACAGCTGATCATGTAAACAGTTTTGAGACATAAGACAGGTAGGATGTTCAAGAGGTTATGGATGCAGAATGGTGGACCACGACACCGGGAAGAACCGGCTTCTCTTTGCAAATAGTGTGATTTGGATATTTAACATTCACCTGAACATACAGCACCTTTACAGATGAGTCATATAAAGGATCGTAACCGTGACAATGAACTGTCAGCCGAGTCTCAACATACGCTTAACCCCACAACCTCTGAGCTGCTGAATGCTACCAACCGAGCCAAGCTGGAAACAAAGATCATTAATATAGTTGGCTTCCCTGATTTGTTACTCATTTTCAAGTTGTGGGGGAACACCCCCAATGGCTTGCGGATGATGTGGTTTCCATTGTTATCACAATCCAAGTCCAGGAAACTGACGGAGGACTCAAACGTATGACTTTTGGCACATCGTGGCACAATACATAGTCCACCCACCAAATGTGGCATTTTTAGTGGAGCACTGAACACTCAGCTTGTACCTTAATATTTTCACAACAAATACAAGTGTTAACATGGGTTGGCCTGCCAGCATTTGAGTATTCGGATTTGCTTCTTTCCTCGTGTTACTGAGTTTTTCTCAAGACACACGGACTCTGTGCTGAAATGGGTTTAGAATCGAGAGCTGACAAGTGTCCTGAGAGAAGGAAGTGATGTACCAAAAAAAAGAGATACAATTAGTCGCAGGGTGAAACAATTATAAGCGACGGTTTCTTTCTACCCAGTAATGCAGTCTATAAGGTTGACAAAAGCTTGTCTTAAATCATGAGTGGCCATTAACACAAGGATAAAGTGTTGCCGTTGGAGTTTATAAACTTGTTTGGATTACACTCTTTACTTTCCCACCTTAGTTTATTACTCTACTTAATAATAAAAACAATTCTCAGAAAACTCGCCCTTTTTCAATTCCAGGAAGATCCTGCGTGACCTGAAAGCCAAAGTCATAACGGATAGGGTTAGGATTGGGTGGCCCCAACCTTGGCACTTGCCAACCTTTGCCTAACACTTTCCAGAATTAGGTAACTGGGTTTCGTCCTTTCAGGGAGAGACTGCACATTCCATTCAAATACACAGAAATTTCCTTGTATAGGTGGCGATGCACAGAACTCAGTTCGGTTTGGATACTCCTAAGTATGGTTTCCATATAAGTCAGACACCTGGCTGACCAACAAGAAACCTAACATTTCACTACTTCAAATTTTATATTTTAAGTTGACAACTGTCATTAAATGTTCTTTTTCATAAACCTCAGGGAGAGAACGCATCATGTGTAAGAACATGAAAAGCTCCAAATGATTCGATTTAGGATTGTATATTATGAAGATATTTTAGTAAATTACTAATATATGGCTCATAACAGTAGTGGGAATAAAGAATGACCTCAACAGTTTTCTTGTGTTTTTCCCCTTTTAAAGTTAATTTTATTGTTTAACAAGTATTGATTGCATGCTATATACTGGGACTTGCCCGCAGTTCGATTTTCACATGTGGTAATAAGAAGGAATAGAAAGCGCAGCTATAATATATATGGGAAATGATTGAAAGGTTTTTCTTGTGGGAAATGGTACTATATGAAACCAATGGGAATCACCTATCTATTTTCTGATGGATGTTAATCACTGTGTGCTTATTTTTTCGTTTCTTGTTCTTTGACCATTGTTTCTAACCTCCACATGCAATCATGGGTTCTTTTCCCTCCACTCATGGGAAAGCGCAAAGGGAAAGATTGCTCCTTTAAAGGAAAAGTCAAGAGTTCAAATGGCCATGTGTGCTGATCTCAACTTGGGACATCATTCAGGGAGCTGTAACCTCAGCGGTGCAGGGCAAAGGGTGGGTGGGGGAGGAGGGGGGGAGAGGCAGAAGAGAGATATGGGGAACACATCAAAGTTCCTCCTCCCAGTGTCACTGCTGCTGGACGAAACTGAATGCGATGATCAAATTCAGGCTCTGCTGGGAAGGCTGAGCTTCAGTAGTCTGCTATCCATGGGCAGTGTTCAGATACGATCAGTACAGTAGAACAATAAAACCAGAGGCCACGGCTGCGATTGAAAGATCAAATTCAAAACAAATCTGCGGAAACACTACTTCAATGAGCGAATAGTGTTTCCGCAGATTTGTTTTGAACTTGATCCTTCAATCGCAGCCGTGGTCTCTGGTTGTATTGTTCTACTGTACTGATCGTATCTGAGCACTGCCCATGGATAGCAGTATGGAAACAAAAACAGAAGTCGCTGGGAACACTCAGCAGGTGAGGCAGCATCTATGGAGAAAGGAAAGTGAGTCAACGTTTCGGGTTCACGAAGGGTCAGAACGAAGGGTCGTGGACCCAAAATGTTGACTCACTTTCCTTTCTCCATAGATGCTGCTTCACCTGCTGTGTTCCCAGAGACTTCTGTTTTTGTTTTCAGATTTCCAGCATCTGCAGTACTTTGCGTTTTTTTTAGTAAATGTATGGAAACAGGTTCTCTAAGGAGATGATGGAAGCAGAAAGTGTCGATTCTTTCAAAAGCAAATTAGATAAGATTTATTTTAGGAAATAATACTATGGGATACAGAAAATAGTTTGGGAGATGACATGTGCATGTGAATAGTGCATGCGGTGGAAGGCGAACCAGGGTGGACCTTGATCTTCTTTTGTCTAGCAATTTTTATGTTGTTATGTTTGTGAATCTGTTAATACATTGCTCAGTGCCTGTGTAACTGTAACATTGTGTAACCCCAACAAGAAGTCAATGCCTCTCAGAAAAGGAAGTAGAGATGGCTGAAAAGAGAAATTTCTTGTTTTTTCTACTCCAAGAATACCATAATTTCCCTCCCTTCCAGACATGCAACACACCCTGGAGCGGCAGGCTACACCTTCAGTATGAAGTAAGTTAGAATAAATAAAGAGAGCCACTCAAAAATAACAAAAAAAAGAAACAATCGGACAATAAGCCCCCCCCCAAATATTTTTAAAACACAGCTTCAAGCCAAATCAGAAAGTCTAGGTGCGGGCAGCTGTTAAAAGTGCAGCCTTAAAGTCTGAAAAGAAAGAGGAAGAGTTATATTCACAACGCTGAGTAATCTACCAAACTTCCACATTTGTTCAACCTCTCATACACCAGGGAAGTAGACCAGAATGCTACATCATTAGCTCTGAAAACTGGTAGGCTAATGTGAAATACAGATGTACTTAAGACGCAAGGCAATTATACTTAGACACAGACAAATTCAGGCCGCTATAGTAAGCTCCAGATAACTCGAAGCGGTCTCAACTCGTCACTACCACTTAAGCCACCATTCAATCAATATGTGCACAATTGGCTGCCGGATTTCGCCCACAAAATACACAGCCAATTCACTTTACAGTATATTCTGTGACGCGCTTTGAGATGTCTCGAAGATGTAATAAGGCACTATATCAAATTCAAGGATTATTATTATTTTCATTATCCTAATCGAATATTATTCTTCGTGATCAGTGTAAATGCTAAGAAAGATCATTCCCATCCGTGTGTTCGGCAATAATGGTTTAATTAAACCTACAACTCCGCCACCCACTGAACAGTTCCTCCATAGCACAGGCACTGGAGTGCCGAAGTTTTGCCATGTGGATGTATTTCATTGTCACATAGGGGAGAGGAGGAAGGGAAGAGAGAAATCCTAGCACTGCCTGTATGGAGCTATCCTTAACTTTGACAAGGCTTGTTTTAAAAGAGCTGATGAGAACACATTTATGTTTAAAATCACTGCTGCTCACAACCTGTAAATTTATAAACACTGCCCACCAAATGTGCTTCATCTGCATCCTTATTAATACCGGAGAAAAGAGGTTGTTTTCATCACAGGTAACTGAAGCTGTAACCTGAAACCCCTTAACACCTAACTGTTATCACATACACTCTCTCTCTCTCTCACTCACACAGCTTGCAGAGTAACTTGAGAACCTTTGAATGTTATTTTAATAATAATACTTGCATTTGATTTAGCCTTATGTCATTGAGATGTTTCAAATTGCTTCTCAGAATTTTACTTTAAACTGTATACTTGTAAGCAAACCCAGCAGGCAATTTACACCTGGCAAATTGGTTGGATCCTAGATCTAGAAACCTAGACCTTGCTATGGCTTGCAAAAACACTCCTAGATGGATCAACGAGAAAATTAAAAGATAGAAAGGACAGGGTAGGCACCAGTCTGAATGCAAGACTGTACAGAAAGAGTTAAGAAAGAAAGAAAGATAAGGAGTCGTACACGAGTACCTACCGCAAATTTTGGCAGCTATTGTGCAGATCTCTTCTGAAACATAGTCCCCGGGCTGAAAGGTCAAGTGGTCGCCCTCTGGCTTTCCCAGGGAGCGATAAAGGAGTACTTGCAGGCCTGCTCCAGTCTGTTTTGGGGGGGCAGGCTGTGGTGAACATCCCCATTCTGAACTGGGGCCATTCCGGATTCTACATCAGTCACTGTAATGCAGGCCATCTTAACGGTTTCTTGTGAAGTTATGCAAGCTTTAATTTTTCACCTCACAACTGCAAAGAGAGGGAGAAAAACAGGTATAAATAATTTAGAATTAAAATACATTCATTTTAATGTAGCCTCATATTGAAGGTCGATTGGCAAACTGTTTCTTTCCACTGCTATCACCCGCCAGGTTTCATCTTTCAATAATAAGAGGGGATAACCAGGGTTAAATAATCAACACTATTCTATGAGTAGCTGACGCATGCTTTACATTGGAGAAACAGTGCTGGATCTGACAATTATCACTTCTCCCCTTCCCCGAAATGGAGTCCTTCATTTGGCAGCCCACGCCAGCCAAATCAGATGCTATTGCTCAACATAGAGGGCATCAAGATCAGTTGACACTTTGGTCTTGGAGTTGAGCACAGACAGTACTGTTGTTGAAGTGACCAGAATGCACATACCCGCAAAATAAAAATCATGAGACTTTTTGTGAAAGGGGGGGTGGAGGGAACTGCAACAGCAACTTGTAGTGACAATGAACGATAGGTTAACATTTGACCAAACATATTCAGTGATGCCAGTGACTTCTTGCAAAGCATCCGAGTGATTTCCAGGAATCAAAAAGCAGCACTGCTCTACTTCTTATTGTAGTGAGTAAATCATCAGACTCATCAGAAAACTCATCAGAAAACAACTGAAGGTGGACATTACACTTCTGGATATTATGCGACAACAATGCTGAATTTACAGCACCTTCAGCCGCACAAGCACCAACACAAAAGGCAATTCTGATGCAGAATTTCCCGCAAAAGTCACATATTCAAGATCATGCATGTCCCTCCTATCGAGTGGATTTTTACAAACATTTCTGCAGTTTCACCATGGACAGTTTTAATGATAATAATCCTTGCATTTTATACAGTACCTTATCACATCATTGAGATGTCTCAAAATGCTTCACAGAATATATTTTAAAGTGAATTGACAATATTTGGTCAATAATTATAATTAAATAATTATAATTATTATTGTCAAAATTTTATAATTATTTAACTATAATTATTGAATGAACAATTATAATAATTGTTTTTCCCATTAAAGGCTCTGTATTTACTATGTTGGCTGCTGCACAAATCCACAAGACTGACCCAGAGCATCTTCCAGAGACAAGTAGCTGCCCATCTCTTCCCAACTAAAACGAGCATGAGCAACAGTAATAATCCTTACATTTTAATATCCATCTGAGCAGGCAGACGGCACCCCAATTTATCATCTCATCCAAAAAATGACACCTCCAACGATGCACTGGATTGTTAGCCTGGTCTGTGAGATCAAAATCGTTGATGTGGGGCTTGAACCCACAACCTTCTGACTCAGAGGAGAGGGTGGTACCAACTAAGTCAGGCTGACACTGTGAAAAATGTGAATTCAGAACAGATTTGCTTTAACAATTATTATGAAAACTTTAGTGCACAATTGTCAACTAGCTTTAGGTTAGGAGGGTCGACCTAACACCTAAAGCTAGATGTGATGCCTCTATTCACAACTGTTTGACTACCATCATAAATACCTGCTCAGGGATAGAGATTCAAGAATATCTGATTGACACATTTTAGTGCTGGTAACAGGATAGAGTTCCATAGAGTAGTGGTTAGAGCACTCGCATCGCAAGCGAGAGAACCAGGGTTCGAATCCCGGGCAGGACAAAACCTCAGGCAAGTTTCCTTACTCTACACGCCTCTGTTTACCGAGCAGTAAGTAGGAATCTGGTTGTCAGTTGATTGGCAGATCACTTTCTGGGGGTAACAGGCCCTTCAAAAAATAAAATCAAAAAATGGTGCTCAATCCACAACTCTTTGTGGGACACTGCTGTCCACAATTGGCTGCCATATTTCACTCCCAAAATATACAGTCAATTCACTTTACAGTATATTCTGTGAAGCACTTTGAGACGTCTCAATGACATGATAAAGCGCTAAAGCAAATGCAAGGAGTATTATTATTGAGTTAAGTCAGTATCCTATTTGTCGCAGCAAAAATATGCTGCTTTCTGCAATCAGGATGAAGAAAATCTTCCACCCTGACCATTGTGCCAAAGTCAGGGGTAGGGTGTTCAGAACTGAAAACAATTGATATCTAAAACTCTGACTCTTAACCAGCTGAATAGGATAATTTCACCGAATCGGTTCTCAGTGCAATATCACATCAAATCTTGTTATGAAATATTGCAATTTTCACTCAATTATATGAGAGGAACTTACAGCTGGACAGAAGCTTTCTTTCACTCGATACAACAACAACAAGATTCCATTTATAGAGCGCCTTTCACGTCGGGAGGACGTCCCGACGATATTGAGAACATAACACAATAGCAACTTGCATTTACATAGCTCCCTTCATGTATAGTGTCCTGGAGTGCTTGATGCTCACAAAATCACAAGATCACATAATTTGTTCGGCCGCTTGGGGCCTTTTTACTATTTCATTCTTCCACAATACTAACTGTTAACTCTATCATCTTCACAGTAACAGCATTGAGCTGTTTTTTTTTAAATTGACCGTTCCTGGCAACCTATACCAGTCAATAATTACCCTCTGTCCTACAATTGCCTTTTACAACTCCAAACCTATGTCTTTGGCATATTTGAGAATATCAAAGCACTAATGCTAATATTCTATCCTTGTGGTTCAATATTATTCCTACGGTAATAATCATTACATTAGATATTGCACCTTTCATGTTAGGAGGTCAGCTCAGAGTTTCACAGGATATGGTGTAAAGTCTGTCATCTCCTTTTCCTGTATTGTGGTCTCTTTTTCAATTGTTCTTTTAGTTATACCTCCTGGATGAATCGACTCCTTTGTTTTACTGAGGTACGGTTCCACTGATAAGCCAGCCCGTCCAAGTGTTCATTATTTATTGTGCAAAGGGTTTCCCAGCTATTTAACCACTGGAGATTTCACAATTGAGCCTCTCACCTGACATCAGCTCAGTTGGAAGGATTCTCACCTCTGAGTCAGAACTTTGTGGGATCAGGCCCCACATCAGGACTTTGAACTAGGCTGGGGAGTACAGAACTGGGTTGGAGGTGCCGTCCTTCGGATGGGACAATAAACCAAGGTCTTGTCCACTAGTTAAGGTGGAAGTTAAAGTTCCCATGACATGTATAATAAAAGAGAAGCAAGTTTTTCTTCTTTTGCTGGCCAACATGTCGCAAAATAAAATTAGTCAGTGCCCCTCATGGCTGTTTGTAGGGTGTTGCAGAGTGTAAACTGGTTTCTGCATACTAGGTCATGGTGCAACAAGTCCAGAAACAGACAGGTAATAGTACTCATGCCTTAGAGCCGCTATCAACAATAATAAACTCTTTGCTTAGGTTTTTGTTTCAAACTTCAAATATATAAATGCAATAAAAAATACGGGGTTAGCTTGCTTATGAAACCACAGGATATTTTCCATCCAAAAGAGGAAGAAAGATAAAAGGCAGCAAAACTATATTAATGCCTTTTCTCCTTCTTCCACATAGACCAGTTAATTGAACAGAGCCACAACACAACTAAGGATATGAAGCAGGAAAAACATATAGTGCATTTACCTTGGTTACAGTTGGGTTAGGAAGTGTAAAGGCTGAGAAGTTTGTATTCAAGAGATTACCTTATATGCTACACATACTCACCCACAAAATATAGTCAATTCACTTTATAGTATATTATGTGAAGCACTTTGAGACATCTCAAAGAGGTGATAAAGCGCTATATCAAATGCAAGGATTATTATTATCTTCATAAGAAACAACACTAAACATTTTACATCTGAGATATTGGATCACTGCTAAATCGAGTACGATTCATAGTTTTATCCATAACTCAGACATCAGCTAAAACAGCTGATGAACGGCAATGTTTTGGCTGGTACGTCTCCATCTGTACTCCAGTACAATCTGTGGGCTCCACAAGCCTTGGCTCCTGCACCTAATAATCTCCAGATATATGCAATTGTGGCGCTGCAGGGAGAGAGGAACATTCCATTTCAGACATGGGAAATTTTCCGTGTGTAGATGGAACACATATGTGTGTACACACTTTCAAGCTTGATTGGATACTCTAAAGCATGTTTTTGCATATTTCAGACATATGGCTGACAAAAAAAATTGCTTGACAGCACACACAGTGTTATACGTGTTAGGAATTTATTTTGGTTTCATTTGTCTTAGGGAGTCGGGTTAGAAGCTGAGAAATTCTTTGCACTCGGAAGAGGACTGAATCCAAGTAGTTTTGGCGCTGAAGAAATTATGCTGTGGTGTTAAACAAAGTGCAGTAACAAAAATTTCAAAGTTCCTTACATCCTTTCTTAAGGCTGAACTAGAGTAAATTACAAATAAAGACGTCCAGCTTCTTCTGCTCACTATAATTGAAGTGAGAGGACCGAGGTTCGATTCCCAGGCAGGGCAAAATCTTAGGCAAGTTTCCTTACTCCACACGCCTCTATTTACCAAGCAGTAAGTAGGAACCCAGTTGTTCATCGATTAGTGGGATTGCTTTCTGTGGGTGGTAAGTCCTTCAAAAAATAAATAAATAATAAATAAATAAGAATTTGGTCACTCAAACCACGACTGTTTGTGAGATGCTGCTGTGCAAACTTGGCTGATGTTTCACACACAAATATACAGTGAATTCACTTTACAGTAAATTCTGTTAAGCGCTTTGAGACGTCTCAATATGATAAGGTACTATATGAAATGCAATGATTGGTATTATTATATACCAAGGCAGCAGATGTACTTTGTCTTGAGTCCAGTTGGAGACTGCGATTGACAGCTTGTGGGGAGTCAACGAAAAGTAAAAGTAAACAAAATTGCAATTATACATACATGTTTGTGATATCATTTCATATATACACGTTCATGTTCATTTTCATAACATGTTACGTATAAACGCTAGTAAAATACAAAGATGCATTTAACATATGAGTTTAGCCCCATTGAGTGGCAGAAGGTTACAGCTGTTCAGTTGTCTAATCTTCAGGAGATGCATGTTGCAGACTGATATGCCAGAAAGACTGGTT